TCTATTTATATTATATTTTTTTAACTCTTTATAAAGAGTTATAGATATTAATATAGTAAAGATTTTTATATTAGATTATTATATTAAGTTAATATAATTCTAACACTTTTTATTAAGTCTAGATTTATTTTCTTTACTATACCTCCTAAGTATCCCTATATTAAGAAGTTTATAAGATAGCTTAACTACTAGAAGCGCTATATACCTAGTAGTAAGTCTAATTATTATATTAGGTTATTATATTTCTAATATTCTTTTTTTAGTATATATCTTATAGAAGATCTAGTTCTAGTAATTAATATCTTTTAAGAAAATAGCTCTCCCTAAGCTTACTTTCTAGCGTGTAGTTTATAATATTATAAGTAGTATTATCCTTAACCTCCTCTTCTAAAGAGAAGCTCTTTTAGCTCTATAGGAGGCCTTAGAGGATATCCTTATCTTAGTCTTTAAAAGTAAGTATTCTAATATTTTATAAAAACTTAACTAATATTACTATAGTAACTAACTTAATAGCTATATATATAAACTATATAACTATTATAAGTAAAGACCTTAACTTTATTAGGGAGCTTTATACTATTAGTAAGTATTTAGGCTTAGCTTAAAGAGCTAAAGATATAAAGACTAGTATATAACTACTTTTATAATATATTAACTATTTATATTAACTATTTTATAGCTAGAATTAATAAACGCTATACTATATAAAGTATAAAGTATTAATAAAAAGTAAAAAAGTTAACTACTACTTTTTAGAAGTATAATAAGATTATTAGTAAAAAGTAAAATAACTAAGCTAATAAAGAAGATAGTATTTAAGAGGTACTAAAATACTACTAAAGTAAAATTAAAGTACTATAGTAAAAAGATATTTTTACTTTAAAGTCTAAATAATTTAAAAAATATATAGACCTTAAAAATCCTAGTGTTTTTATTTATAATTCTTAAAACTTATTTTTTATTTTTTACCTAAGAGAAAGTAAAACTAAAATAAGTTCTTAATATATACTTAATTAAAGGTCTTCTAGGAATCTAAGTATAAGGGGTTAGCCTGGTTACCCTTTATAAGGCTATGTGTGGTGTATTTTAGGCACTTAGTGCCTGAACTGATTGATCTTTTGGTAATGCTAGAATAGTCTATTAACAGGCGTGGCACACTACCTATACCTTTATAATTGTTTAGGCACTAAGTGGGTCTTCTGGCTGTTAACAGGGGCTGGGTTTGAATTCTGCCTGTTGAGACTCTCTTTAGTGTAGGCCTTAAGGGGCTGGAAGGTTATTAATCAGTGGATTAGTTGGCTAGGTATGAATGAGGGGCAGCTTACGTTAGGCTTAGAGGGACTGATGTGCGATAGGTAAGCCTAGCGCCAGCTGGGGGTCCCCTAGCTGTCGCCAGGTGCCAGGCGCCTAGGGCCTTTGGGGTTAACATGACCTTGTGCTCTAGCGCACGGTTACTAGCGCCAGTGTGTATATGTGGGCCTAAAGCGACTTAGGACGCGTCGTATTAGAAGGGGGGCAATTATAAGGGGTTAGCCTGGTTACCCTTTATAAGGCTATGTGTGGTGTATTTTAGGCACTTAGTGCCTGAACTGATTGATCTTTTGGTAATGCTAGAATGGTCTATTGACAGGCGTGGCACACTACCTATACCTTTACACTAAGTAGAAGTTCTTAAAAAGAGGTATTATAATATACTTTACTATTACTACTAGCTAGGACTTATAATATTAAAATAAAAGATTTATAATCTTAATATCTTTATAAGAAAGCTAATTAATATTTTTTTATATTTTAGTAGGACCTAGTAAAGTAAGCTATTCCTAATTATCTAGCTAGGTAGATATCCTAAGAATATCTTAAATTATTTTCTAAACTAAGACCTTATATTAGTAATAGTATTTATAAGAATAATTACTAAGTAAGTATCTAGAAGCTTTTCTAGCTACTTAAGATTAAAGGTTTTACCTCCTAAATAATTAGTATAAAATCTAAAAGCTTAATTAAAGATTCTTACTAAGCTTATTTTTTTAAGAGGACTAACTTTTTATATTATATTATACTTAAATTAAATTCTATTTAGTACTAAAACTTAAAAAGAATAAGCTATAAGAAAATTTCTTTTATTAAGAAGAAGTCTTATGCTAATAGGAGTGTTTTATCCTAGGGGAGGATTTCTACTTTATTAAGAGCTACTTTTACTTTTTAAAGAAAATAGTAAAAGCAAGATAGCTTTACCTAAAAAACCTTAAGCGTAGTAAGCTAGATTCCTTAGAAGTAAGTAAAAAAGGTAACTAAAGTAGCCTAAATAAAAATTAGAAATATAATAATTAATATAATAACTAACTTAACTTATATTATTAGATTTCTATAGGTACTATTACTAAATCTTAGTAAGCGTTTAAGCTTTTAATATCTAGATATCTATAGTATCTTTTTTAATACTATTATCCTTAGTAAAGTTAATAGTATACTACTTATTAATATCCTCTTAGTTATTATTACTAAAATTATTATATATCTTATTATTATTATCTTCTTAAAGACTACTTTAGCTATTATACTAGTTAGGATAGCTATTCTTATAGATACTAGATCTTTATAAAAAGAAAAAAAATTAAGAGATAGTAGACTATAGCTTACTAGTAGTCCTTATTCTATTAATAGAGCTTTTTCTTTTAGGCTTACTAAGCAGTAGGGGATATATTTCTAAAAGCTACTGTTTTCTAAAGCTTTATAAACTCCTTACTAAACTAGGTATTTATTATAACTATTCTTTTTGCCTTAACTCTTTAGATCTCTAATATATTCTTAAGTCTTTAATAAGTTTTAGTAGTATTAGGGTTATTAAAGTAATTAGTAAGAGCTTTTCTTTTTTCCTTTATACTAAATCCTTAGGGGCGTCTTATATTAAGGTTAATATAAATTAAGTAAGAATTATTATATTATAAAATAAAGGACTTACCTTACTAGCTAAAAGCTAAAGATATAATAGCTACTATAAGGTTTTATTTTTCTTTTTTAAGCTAAGAAAAATTCTTTTTAAGTATTATTATCTTTTTTAAACTAAGTTTCTTTTTATTATAAGTAAACTTCATACACAAAAACCCAATAACATATTATATTCTGGAGTCGTCGAGTCGTCTAGGACCACCTAGTGATATATTCCTACAGAGCAATACAAGCTGAGAAGCAGATACGAGTGGCAGCTGGAGCCGTCAAGGCGCCCCGTCCGTTTTGATATTTAACTGCTAAAGCCTGAGTCCGAAGGCCTAAGAATTGATGATACCTTCGGGTCGTTCAAAAAGAACATCTCGGGTTATTTTTTTTTTCTTTTTTTTTCTTATAGTAATAATAATAATAATAATAATAATAATAATAATAACTACTTAGTATATCTACTTATTTTTTTTTATTTTTATTTTCTTTTTATTATTTTCTAACTTAAGGTTTTTACCTAAATATCTAACACTTTTTATTAAGTTAGGATTTATTATTTCTACTATAACTCCTAAGGCTTTCTATATTAAGAAGTATATAGGACAGCTTAACTACTAGAAGCGCTATATACTTAGTAATAAGTCTAATTATTATATTAAGTTATTATATTTCTAATATTCTCTCTTTAGTATACGCCTTATAGGAGATCTAGTTTTAGTAATTAATATCTTCTAAAAAAATAGCTCTCTTTAAGCTTACTTTCTAGCGTATAGTTTATAATATTATAAGTAGTATTATCCTTAACCTCTACTTCTAGGAAGAAGCTCTCCTAGCTTTATAAGAGGCCTTAGAGGATATCCTTATCTTAGTTTTTAAAAGTAAGTATTCTAATATTTTATAAAAACTTAACTAATATTACTATAGTAACTAACCTAATAGCTATATATATAAACTATATAACTATTATAAGTAAAGACTTTAACCTTATTAAGAAGCTTTATACTATTAGTTAGTATTTAGGCTTAGCTTAAAAAGCTAAAGATATAAAGACTAGTATATAACTACTTTTATAATATATTAACTATTTATATTAACTATTTTATAGCTAGAATTAATAGACGCCTTACTATATAGAGTGTAAAGTATTAATAAAAGGTAAAAAAGTTAACTACTACTTTTAAGAAGTATAGTAAGATTATTAGTAAAAAGTAAAATAACTAAGCTAATAAAGAAAATAGCGTTTAAAAGGTACTTAAATACTACTAAAGTAAAATTAAAGTACTATAGTAAGGAGATATTTTCTTCTTAAAGTCTAGAAGATATTAAGAAAATAAAAGCCCTTTTAACTCTACTAAGTTATCTTTAATAACTAAGAATTTATTCTTATTATATAAATTAATTTAAAAATCTATTTTTATCTTATTTAGTAGATATAGGGATTTTTTAAATCTATAACTATAGATCTAGTTTTTTTTAGATATCTATTCTAACTAATCTATACCTATAGATCTAAAAAAAAACTAATCTATATTTATAGATATCTATAGATCCCCATGGACTGGATATTTTTAACCCTAGCCGCTGGCGACGCAGCTGACCGAATCCAAAGATGTCGACAGGAGCCGTCACTGTATACGATGCCGACAAACACGCAGGCCCCGACCGCCTAAACGAGTCGAATCCTAAAGTGTTGACCGACGCGGATTTGATGAACGATGCCTTCGATGGCGAGAACGAGGAACACAAACAGGGCTTGTGGGAGGCGGCCAAACTTCACCCCAAGGCCTGCTTCTGGGCCTTCATTGTGTGCTTCACAATTGTGAGTTGACTAGTTCCGTTCTTCGGCCGGCCCAAATGAATGCGCAGGACGACTGCTGACGTCAAGCAGGTCATGGAGTCGTTCGACATGTTCTTGAACGGTAATTTCGTCGCACAGAGAGCCTTTCAAAAGCGTTACGGTGTCGTTGTGGGTAATGAGTATGTCATCGAAACCAAATGGCAAAGCGCGCTTTTCCAAGCCGGGCAATGCGGTGCTTTTGTCGGCGTCTTCATGGCTGGACCTGTTGTCAACCGTTTCGGCTACCGTTTGACTATCATCTTCGCCCTGGTTCTCATGAATGCCACCATTTTCGTTTCTTTCTTCGTAAGCCGTTCAGTGCGAACCTACCCTGAGTCTGTCCTCTGATGAGACCCGTCTAGGCCACATCCCTCGAAGTCCTCACGGTTGGACAAGCGCTGGAAGGCGTTCCTTGGGGCTTCTTCATTGCAATCGGCCCTGCCTACGCCAGTGAGATTGTTCCTCTTGCCCTGCGAGGTGCCTGTACAGCTACTCTGCAAATGAGTTGGTCCATTGGCGGGATCATTCTCGCCGGCGTCGCCCTTGGCTATAATAAGCGAGAAGATGAGTGGGCTTGGCGAGGACCTCTCGCCTTGCAGTGGATCTTCCCTGTGAGAACATACCTCTCTTTACTTTCTCATTCTCTTTAATTTCATACATGCAGAAGCTCATGGTTATACCTCGCAGACCCCGCTCTTGGTAATTCTCCTCTTCGCTCCCGAGTCCCCTTATTGGCTTATCCGCAACGGACGCAAGGAGGAGGCCCTTCGCTCTGTTAGGCGCTTGGATGCTTCCAATGCTACTGCGCAACAGAATCAGCAAAAATATGCCATGATTCAGCGAACCGTGGAGATTGAAGCCCAGTTGGGCGGTAATCCCTCTCTTCCCGACCTGTTCAAGGGCGTCGATCTGAGGCGAACCACCATCATCTGCTTGATGTACGCATCACAGAACTTTGCTGGTAACCTGATTAGCAACCAGGCGACTTTTTTCTTTGAGCGTATGTGGTGCCTGCATTGCAACTCCCTTGGTATAGTATCGATGGCTGACTCCCCATTATAGAAGCTGGAATAGGCCATGATCGTGCTTTCGATCTTAACATGATCGGCGCGTGCCTGTCAATCTTCTCCAACGCCCTCTCTTGGCCCCTCACTGGCTGGTTCGGCCGCCGAACGATCTACCTCTGGGGTACGGCTACCAACATTGCGCTGCTCATGATTCTCGGCGTCTGTGCCTCTATCCGGCAATCGACCACAACCAACTACGCCCAGGCCATTCTTGGTGTTGCCATCGCCTTCGTATTCGCCGGTACTATCGGGCCGATTTCATACACCATCATTGCCGAGACATCTGCAGTCAGGCTTCGCGCTCTGAGTACCGCTGTTGGCCGTGCCGCCTACTACGTTGCGGAAATACCCATGATTTTTCTGGCTTCGCAGATGCTGAACCCCACTGGATGGAACCTCGTGGGCAAGTGCGGCTATGTCTGGGGTGGTACTGCCTGTGTCTGCTGGCTCATGGCCTACTTTTTCCTTCCTGAGCTTAAGCACCGCTCTTACCGTGAGGCGGATATCCTGTTTAACCGGAAGGTTCCTGCCAGGAAGTTCAAGTCGACTGTCATTAAGGTGACGGACAATGAATAAGCCAAGGCGATGGGTTGGGCATTGGAAGACACAGACAATCCTTGCAAATCTCTGGAATTAGATGAGACAGAGAACGAATCACATAGTTCGATGTAGGCACGAGTCTTGAATACTTACTGTCTAGCTTCATAAGAGATGATCACGCTTTAATTTTCTACGCCTGTTGCTGTTCATGAGTCAACAACTGACCTCGATACTACTGACGTTTGTGAGCTTCCAGGAATGCATTAATTTGCATTGACGACACAAAAGACCAGAGAGTACCATGTTCAATACAACCATGGGGGCTCGTCACGTGTTATCGATACGTTGCACAAATCATGTCATCCACACGAAAAGTTTACGCCAGGTGGTCCATTTTGGTGTTGCTTTTTTTCTTTTTCTTTTTTCCAAGCTAGTCGTGAGATGTTGATGAATCCTGCCCCGATTCTAGTATGTGTCCCAGTCTTCATAGTACAAACCAAAGTTGCTGGAAGAGGAGTCTAACGAGGTGACACACAGCAAGGTTGACATAGCTATTCCCTGTCAAGCCGCCAAGGCCGGAGAATGCTCTAGGACATGAGTGGCGTCGGCAACATTTTGGATCATATACTACATTGAGACTGTGCCGCTTCAACATCACGACCGGAAGACCATCTGCAATGTCGAAAGACTTCATAGATACTTCAGCCACACGGAATATCGAGAAGTGCCTCAATGTCGCTGTACAGAGAATCCATGGCACAGCAGCTTTTTGCACGGCTTTCGAGTTTTCCCGACCCCAGTGTATCATCTGGTATGCAACATACTTCCTATCCCAAGAAGCTCGGGTCCTCGAGGCGAACTATCTCACCAAAGCCACCCGGGTAGAACGAGATAGAGTTGCGTGACAGCACTCAGTCTCTAAACCCAGCGCCTGTTCGAAAACTCTGGCGCAGAAGAGCAGATCGGCCAAACGATATTATTTAGGTATTGTCGACCGCATCGATCTGGTTCAAGTATCTTCTACAGTTGGTCTGGAGCCTGGCCAGACTTAATCACAGATGACGCCGCCACAATCAGGGGTGAGGGACAGCCTTGATGACAAGTAAAATTAAAGGGCTGCGCCAGGTCTTTGTTGATCTACCGAGTAAAAGATGGCTTTCCACGGCAAGAGTCAAGCGGACTTCAGTGACTACATCGCGGTTCAAATTCTATGGACGCTACTCAACAAGGCCCCTTTGAACATCATAGAGAACATGCTACCTAACTTATTACTACTTGGCGGTTAACTGTGTAGGCATATCGCCAAAACATCACGCGTCAGCTAACGTCCACATAACTGTGGAAGTCAATATGATTAAGGTACATGCCATTTGGCTAAGTTGTACATAGAACGTTCCACTTCTGAGCAAAGTAGGTGAGTATTACTCAGGTTATGTGGCCCCAGCCAAAGCAAATTAATTTGCTCATGGCTATGTAGTATTCATGCAGACGTGACCCTGATCCACGTACTCAAACGTCCTTAAAAGGCCTCCTGTGCCTGTAAACGCAGACAGCCATTCTATAAACCAACTAAGCCATCACAAAGTCCACGCAGCTCTCGTATGTTTGCTTCGCGTTGGTGCCGAACCAGAACCATTGTACCACACACGCGCCGCCCTCGGCGCATGTGCCAGCCGGGAGGTTGGAAGGCATGGTGATGTTGAAGTTAGTGTTGTTTGCAGGCAGCTCCGCCAAGTTTTCGTCTGCATAGCTGTCAAATACGATGAGCGGCTCGCCAATGACCTTGTTCGTGGCGGTGTCTACGATGGAGACGTTCATGGGGCCCTCGTGGGGAATCGGGATCTCGGCCTTCATGTTGACGACCTGGCCTGGGGTAAAGGTCTGAACGTTGGCCTTGTTGTCCTCGAACTTTGCGCCGCGGCAGAGGTCCACTTGGCCTGAAGGGGACGGAATGTCAGCGGATAGATTTTGGGGCCGCAGCAGGATGCCAACTTACAGGTTGCAGGAGGGTTGACGAGATCCTCAAGCGGGATGGTAGGGTCTTCTGTGACGGTCTGGACATTTGCCTGTCCGCAGGCTGCAGCCATCGCCGCACCAGGCTCACGAGCGGGAGGTGAGACGACGTTGCCATGGGCAGAGACCATGGCGGCGAGGAGCGCCGTTGCGGCAGTAATCGAGGAGCGCATCTTAAGGTGGTTGTTGCTAGGACTGTGGACCGCCTGGTGGCAGCGGAATGAATGGGGAAATAGTCTGGATAGCTGTGAAGAAAGGACCTTGTTAGGTGTAGGTAACTGTAAGAAACGAGTGACCAGCACAATGGAATTGAATGACGAGGCGGGCTGGAAGAATATCGGATGGAAGAGAGTGGAAACAGTCCATGCGAGCGGCTCTAGGACTACAAATATTGTGATCGAGCCACAGCCCAATGGTCCCGCGATCCCGGTTCTTGAGAGAATGGCATCAATGTGTGGTCGCTGATGGGTGGACCGGCGATCATAGCTTCATGCGAACCGGATGCGACCGAGGATACTAAAAACGGCAACTAACGCCTAATGCATGGCTTGTTGACTCTTCAACCCTAATTCGTCATGATCTGGGTTTCCTTCAGGGAAACCCGGGGGGTTGGTCCATGAGCGAAACATAGTTTTCGAAGGAGGCTCTCCGGGCACCGCGTAATAGTGGTCTCTTAAGGTTCACGAAGATGAAACGCCGCAAGTCTTATGCCGCTCTGCTTCCGGCGGAGACACATGTAGCCAAGGGCGCAATTTGCGAAACCTGCGACAACGCCTGTCTGGAGGGAATCTTTTTGTAGAGTGCGAGCGTACACGCAGACGAATTGAAAAGAGCCAACGACCCAGCACGTTGTTCAGAGTTCAGATGATGGACGAATTTGAACGTAACCTTTTGGCAATGGATCGTATCGATAGGTATAGGTGGCTGGGCAGGACATTTATCCAGCCCCGGGCCGTTTGCATCGCCAAGCTGTCAGTTTGCCCGTTGGCACCATAAGAAATGTGGCGGTTGATTGAAGACCCAGCTCTCCGGACCACAACAGTGCCCAGTGGACAAACCCCTTTTGTGGACAAGCCGCCCCTTTGCTACCCGTCCTGCTGGTACATATTCTTGGCTTGGCATCTCTGGAGGGGGGGGGGGGGGGGGGGGTATTCTAGACGATGCGACACAAGGCAGAAACTTGGGTCTCTTTTTCTAGTATTCAAGCCGACAACAGTTGCCTGTGCAGGGGATCGACGAGTCATAGCCTATAGGTATGCCTATCTTCAGCCAATTCTGGCTGGCAAAGCTGCGTGAGAAGGCGATCACTCGTATGCCAAGCCACGGCTGTCGCTTTCCATTGACTCCTGAGCATCAACGTCGCAGCTGTAAATCCGACAGGAGGCGCATTAACCCCATTGACAATGCCGCTGACGGCGTCGCCGATAGCAGCGGCGGTACCTTACTCTGCGGTACGGAGTTAGAGTCCTCTAACCCTCGGTGCTGCTGTCAACTGTAAAGTCAAGCCAATTCACGACCTTGATTAGTGGGCCAAGTCTGTCTCAATGTGTATGTGTTCTGCAGAGCCAGGGAGCAATAGGGCAGCGTGGCTAGGAATGTGGAGAGAAGCGCGCAAAGCGAGTGGCTCTCGCTCTGGGCCAGTAAGTATATCTTCCCGGCTTCCATCCCGTAGAAAGAAGCTTATCCCCCCTTTTGCTCGCAACGTCTTAGGCTGCTTCTAAGACCGGTTGGTGGGATGTCCGGTGGAGGTTCGACGCGGCGATTATGTTGTTTTCCCGGCGTTGATGGCATGTCCTCTGGAGTGCAGGCTCGAGCCATCTCGCCATGTGAGATCATCAGGAAGACAGAGCAAGGAATGCTTTTTTCCCGCCTACACTGCCACTACATAGTATGTTTGTACGGCATTTCGCTTCATATGACCGTCGTACGCAAGAACTGTATTATGCAAGAATTGTGCTATGCAGCTGAATAGCCAACGCTAGCCGTCTTTTTCCGAGAAGCATGTCAGACTATCATGTTCCTCTCTCCGTTTATTGGGGTGCCCGTATAACTGAGTAGCACGCGCTATAGTTCTATCCATCCATCGAGATGGCTTTTTTTCCAATGCTCTGTTTGTGTTCCTATGTAATACACTTCAATAGAATAGCGAAACTGGCGTTGGGGTCGCAATGTTTTGTTTCCAAGCATTTGCTAGTGGCCATTTATCAAGGTCAGCATTTTCGCGGTAATGATGGGGTTGAACGAATAGGGAAAAGTCCAGCACCAACTCTAGAACAACAGAGTGACCGCTAATATTGGTTATTATCAGCCTGGGTGCGTGTATGTAATAGTGAGTGGTTGATCTGGAGACAAGAAGGTTATGGTAAGTATGGTTGGAAACAGGTCACGAGCACCTCATGACCAGAGACTCATGAGCGCAGCATTGTCTCGTGCTATGTCCCTACTTCGTGACAAAGCACCTAACATAGCTCAATGCTATGAGGTATGATGTTTGATTTGACGCAGCGTCTGATTGATTTGAACATACTTTACCAAGATATTCAACCACTCATGGAGTGACACTCGTAGAAATCAACCAGAGGAGTTTGCATATTTCTATGGTCATGTTTGTTGGTTTATACACCGGGAACGATTGCACTAAGTCGGATGCTAAGTGACGCTTTGCTCCACTACTAAATGGTTTTCAGAGAGACCACTGCGTGTGATCGGACCGGATTTGTCAAAACAATGCTCGACATGTTATTTGCTGGTCCTCTTCGACTTGAATCTTGCAACTTTATACTTCTATGAATACATGTATCGATAGCACAGTTCGCCTCCCTCCGTATCCATTATATCGGCTACTGTCAAGTCTGTATCCAAGCCTGCCAGCGGGAGTGTATCGGTTAAACTGACATTACCACGATCGCCCACACCGCCATAGTCTTGCACTCGATTCTTCTTGTCTCGCATCTGCCAAAGCCACCAGACCCTGTCAAGCTGAGCATGGTGGAGATAGAATATGGGGTCTATATTCATCAGCATGTTAGCCAAAGAGAGTTCGTCTCAAGGTAGAGCGGAAACATGCGGGAAGGTAGGGTGGGGATGAGGTAACGGAAATCTTACCGTTGGGTGCGGTGAAGGCAGTGAAATCTCCCCTGATCCCCAGCGGGATGATGTCGTGGGGTCCCATCTCTAAGGCGAGATAAAACTCTTCGAAGCTCGTCGCTGCCATAACCTTTTCTAAAGCCTCCGGGTTCATGTAGTGCGCGTACCAGTCCTCATTGAACGACCGTGCAAGGCAATGAGGGTCATACATGCTCCCGTGCCACTGCGGCTTCAGATTCTCGAACGGCAAGTCGGTGACACAGTGGGCGTCATGGTATTTGGGCGCTTTGGGATCTCCGTCGCCACCGAAACCGAGCTTGCTGTCGAATATGGGCGAGTTGGTGATGTCGTCCCAATCAAGGGTCCAGTCCCAGAATCTGTACATCGTGTCCATTAGCCACGCTGCAAAAAACCTGGCATGATATGCTGATCTGTAGCAATGGATATTCGTCACTTACGGGATTACCCCTTTGTATCCGCATGACTTTTGGAGATACTTTTCGTAAACGAAGATGAAGCGTCGGTGCCATGTCAGAAAAGGGGCTTTCGTGTGGGCTATGCCAAGAAGGAGTCAGCTCCGGTATTAATTATGGCATCGGCAAACCAAATGGTTTGTTGAGGACTTACTGCTGTGGGCGACGAGGTTATGGACCCAGGAGAAATCGTTGTACAGCGATCCGTTCAGACCCATTACAGACGGCGAGTCAATGAAACACTGGAAGGCATCAAGGTAGTCTCTCTTCTCCTGCTTCGAGAGGCTCCTCCATTCCCTTCTGAAGTATGGCTTCTCGCAGCTCCCCGACGCATCAGCCGGTGTCCCAGTGCGTGAAAGACCAGGTCGCCTGTGATAACCCGATGTGTACCCCAGAGAAAAAACCGCGGACAAACCGAGAACGGCAGCGCAGACAAGCCCTGTGAATTTCACATATCTTGACCAAGGTCGTTCGGGAGCTACGCTGAGGAGCTTCTCGTTGGCAAATCCGGGATCGTGGGAGACATCTGACGTTGGCACATGGACATATTGTTGTTGCGAGGACGACGATTGCGCCAGAGGAAACATGACTGCCTAGATACCAAAGCAGTAAATGCTTGCACTGCATTCACGGCATGCCAGATCCAAAGACAGACCAGTAGTAGTCAGATCACCGCGCAAAGACCACGAACGAAGTGTGTTGGTTCCAAAAGACCAGACGAGTGATAGGACGTCTGGACTGGAAGGGAGTCCAACGAGATTTCCCCCATGTCTCCATCCATACATGGCATTACCTATAGAGAAGGACAGTACCCACCCAGCGCACCATCATCCCAGCATGGGTTGCAAGGACCCAGCCGTCTCCCCTAGGTATGCATATTGTGTTAGCAGATTTAATGACATGGGATGAGCCCCTGGGACTTAGCGCCCTAGCTGAAGATGAAACGCATTCCCCCTTTCGAGCTTGCTAAAATGCAGACCGAGTTTCACGCTTCTGCTCTGTCCTGGGCAGACAAAAGGCACTGTTGCGAGTATGGGTGCAAGCCAACCTGTATGGGTGTTTCTCTTTTGTCTTTGCGGCTAATTCTTGGAGTAACCTCGATGGCGCATGTGGTAGTTGGCGTGTCTCACGTTTATTTTGAGGTTCCTGCTGATCTCATCTACAGGAGACACTTCCGTGAGTCAGCAGGAACCTCAAAAGTTGGGACGGAGAACGTTGAACATCATCTGGCAACCGGGCGGTGATTATCACAGGATCCTCATCCAGAGAGGAGCGGCTGGATAACTTGATTCGCACATCCCTGAGACGCGGTAACTAATATCTGACTGACAGAGCCTCCGCGGCTGGCATTCCTCCCCCCCGCGCGCGACCGGTCATACTATTGCTGGGCAATTCACGACATTGGTTGCTCCAGCCCCCTGTGGCTTGGCATGCCCTTACGAGATTTTCCCGAAGTGCGAGGACATGCATTTTGTGGGCAAACTGCATTTGCCCCGTGCTTGTTGAATTGTTGGACTTTCGCCTTTCGCCACATATCGTGTGGGTACAACAAGTTCTGAGGGGATCCGAAAAAGGTGAAATTGCGTCGACGAAGTTTTCGTATCGGCTTCCCCTGTTTGCTGACGTACTGTATCCGTACAAATCTTGATCTTTCTACTCGGCCAGACTCCAGAAGGCTGTGTGTGTGTACTGTTCGGGACCGTTCCGAATACGTACCAGAGACCGGCTTGATCGGGTCCACGCAGGCATGAAGTCATAAAGGCCATGTGCGACTGCAATGTTGCCCCTCTCAGTGTGACAAGACGGCCGGGCGGCTCTGCGTTCTTTGGTACGGTGAAGAGTCCGGCATCCAACGGCGCTTGGCGGCGCGAGTATCAAATGACAGGGAGGCCATGTGTGGAGCCATCCTGTTAATATGGCACGAAGCCAAGAGGGCTGGAAGGGGAAAATCCAAGAAGCAACGCTCGACACGGAGTTGCATCTCAACATGGTCAAGCGTGTGTGGGATTTCTTTTTCTAGTCTGTTCTGGGCCGCTAGGTTGAGGGTGCCTCGGCAGCTCGGTAGCTAACCCAGGGGCTTACATAGGTACATACTATACCTAGGTACGTAGGTAGTAGGATAATGCCACCCTGTAGTATACCTTGGTACTGATATGATCACCTTGGTGGGACCGGCTGGACCCGAAGAGATGCAACTCACCCATCATGCTGGCGATCCCTTACTACCTACACGTTACTAGGTATGTAGATCATTGAGTTGGAGAACCCTACAGTCGACATGAGATTTCCAACATGGATGCACGTGTAAATTCAGGAATGATGCTACTTTGGCGCGCCTTATACGACCCATCGAAGCGTGTTGCCACTTCCGTAACGTCACTTAATGATATGTCATGTATTATGAAAGTCACACACTGGACGCCTACTTTATTACAAACAGACGAAAACGATCAAGGGCGGGGAGGCGCTAAATAGCCATCAGGGATTGACACCGACACCGCCAGTCGGGATCCAGCCCGTTTCGTCACGACGGGACCAATCTCGAAAACATCTTGGCAGCGTCCTTTAATAAGAAATGGCAATGCAGGGAGTGCAGCCTTTGCAGAAATCCGCCCCCGTTTAGGTTAATCGATTCATCGCTGGGCGGCAAGACCAAGCCCAATCCAGAAATGGCCTGGTCGCATTCCAATCAAGGTATCCGCAGTCCTGCGCGAATGCAGACAGTGGAGGCTCGGGAAGCAAAGTGTCGGTTCCGAAGCTCTCGTACACTCGGTCAAACAGCCCGAGAATCCAAGCCCCTTGGGCATACTAACCTCCAAAGCCAGGTCTCGTTGAGTATATATAACATATTCACGGCGGCGCCAACATGTTCTGATCCTTCTTACCTCTCCAGAGAACATCTCCAGTTACATTCACTTTTGCTACATTCGCTTTAGCATTCACTCTTTTTTTTTTTACTTCATTCAATCAGTTTACTTGCGCAGTCCTAGAGACTCTCTTTTACCATCCAGCCAGCTTGCCTGCCGCCTTCGCAAACCATTTTCAAAGACACATCCTAGTCCAAAAGCTTCTCATCAAACGAAATGAAGGTTTCTGCCCTCCTCGTCGGCGCCGTCGCCCAGGTGGCCTCTGCCCACTACTTCTTCGACTCGGCCATCGTCAACGGTGCCGCTAGCCCGTCTTTCAAGTACATCCGCGACTTCACCCGCCCGACCAAGTACAACCCCATCAAGTTCTCGTCCAACCCTGCCGCCGACATCCGTGACAACTCTGTTGTCGATGGCCCCGATATCAGGTGCAACCAGGGTGCCTTCACCTCCGCCGGCCAGACTGAGGTCCTGAGTGTCAACGCCGGTTCCGAGGTCAAGGTCCGCCTCGGCGTTGGCGCCAAGATGCAGCACCCTGGTCCTGCTCTGGTTTACATGTCCCGCGCCCCCGGCGACAACGTCAAGGCCTACGACGGCTCAGGTAAATCTTGCTCTCCCTTTTATTCTTACTGTGCATAAATCTAACTAACCTCTCAAAAGGTGACTGGTTCAAGGTCGCCCAGGAAGGTGTCTGCAACAAGGGCGCCGACTTCACCACGAACGCCTGGTGCACCTACGACAAGGACACCATCGCTGCCACCGTCCCCAAGGGCACCCCCAGTGGAGAGTACCTCATGCGTTTTGAGCACATCGGTGTTCACCGCTCCCACGTCAACCAGCCCGAGCACTACGTCTCTTGCGTGCAGGTCAAGGTCACCGGCGGAGGCTCCGGCACCCCCGGCCCCACCGTCAAGTTCCCCGGCGCTTACAAGGCCACCGACGCCTACGCCAAGTTCAGCATCTACGGCGGCGTCAAGGACTTCCCTTTCCCCGGCCCTGCTGTCTGGAACGGTGGCAGCTCTGGTTCTAACACCCAGGCCGCCGCTCCCGTCGAAGCCCCTGCTGCTGCCGCTCCGGCTACCCCTGCCGCTCCGGCTACCCCTGCTGCGGGCGCCAACTGCGCCGGACTCTACGGACAGTGCGGTGGCAAGACCTTCAAGGGTTCCAACTGCTGCTCTAAGGGCTCTTGCAAGGTCATTAACGAGTGGTACTCTCAGTGCGCTTAAGCGTGCTGTGGCGAGGTGTTGAGACTTCCACCACACGAGCTTTGGAGCTTATGATGTGTGATGGGTCTTGTGTATACCAAATTCCCAGGATTGATGATGATGTTCGTCGTCAAGTCCTAGCATATACCTCTTCTTCTACACTGTACCTAAATTACAATACAATGTTTTGCCACCTGACACTGTATCAGTCGTGTTGGATATTATTTAAAGAGACCCTGACGCCTTGTGATATTGTAGCCATAGAGGCTAATTCGTACATTGGTCTAAGCCTTTATCTGAATAGGTTGTATATCATTTATCAACTGTAGACGTTTGGATTGACGGCAAACCTGCCCTACGTTGTTGCTTGTCCATTCGATACCAGGATACTGCTGGAACCAGTGTCCATTTACAATGCCGTTTTCTACATTCGTCATAACGCAGTCGCGTTAACCAACAACAAAGACGCTTTGGAACATCTGAAGTTCTTGAATGGACTGAGCCGCTAGATTCGCTGTATCTACCGAGTACAACCCACACATACGACTGGTTTATTCCGCAACCGATTCCAGTACCTCCCTAGACACTTCTGATATTGCACAGTCCCCCTGTCCTCTGAAAGCCATCATCAGCTTAACAGCCCTTCAGAGCCTAATGAGTCTTGTTAGCCAACCCCTCTGTATAATTAAAGCTTGACGAGCACCTACATCCTCCTTGTTCTGCTCGTTCTGCTTGATCCCTCCGGCGAAGGCGGTCTCCAGCTGGCCAATGGTGTCCAAATCGGCTTTGCTTCCTTTCAGGCTCTGTGCCTGAGACAACTCCTTGGCTTGGGCATTGGCGACCTGGTTCGCATTCAATTAGCTTAGAGGCCTCCGCCTCCAGGGCATTTACAGTCCATACCTTGGCCAAGCCTGCAGAGGCAGCATTATTCGCACCCGCAATTTGCTGATTATTTTTGCGAATATCAATGCCACTCTGGATGGTGTTGAGGAATTTCTTTTTCGCTTCGTCGAACTGGGCTGCGTTAACGTTGTCTTTGTTGACAACATCCTTCACAGCGGCGACATCAGCCTGCTCCTGCTTTTGAGCCGCGATGTTCTTATCGATACCCTCGGCCAACAACTTGGCATTGTTACAATCAACAGCTGCCACCTTAGACACAGTTCCGCTGAAGTGGTCTGGGGCCACGGCGTCTAACTGTACCGGCCCGGGCAGGGCAATGGCAAACGTGAAGAGGAGAGAAAGGACAAGCTGGGTGTAACGCATCTTGAATAGTGCTCGGCGGTTGAGTGAAAGACTTGAGGCAGAGTGGGGGTGATAAGTAGCCGGGAGTGTAATGGAACTGTTGATCTGGAGCGAAGTGTTGCTGATGAAGGGAGCATCTGGCGGGTGGCTTCGCCTGGATTAAATATCCGTTGCCTGGCGAGTCTGTCGGGATACTAACGTCTTCGGGTATGTTCATTGCGCTGTCCTCTCAAACGCGGCTCAACGAATACGCCTTATCCGAAAACAAAGACGTCCCGAGTACCCTTGCCAATGACGCTAAAGAGACTCCGACTATCCGTTGCCGGGATGTTGTCAGGGGTCGTTCCGTACCTGTATAGTGAGCTAAGTTCTAGACGTGTTGTGTACGACGGCCGGCCGTGAAGCTGCGTGCGGCCACAACCCCGTCTGATGTCGGGACCCGAGCAAATTCACCTTTCACCTGGAGCCGAAGAAATAAGGTTAACTCGCTTGTGTTTTGGGCTGATGTTCTTGTTCCAGTGGCTAAGTAAGGATCAATGCACATTGTGTTTAGTGCCGGGGATCCATGGATCATGCTTACCATACGCCATCCAAGAGTATTTCCATACTGCAAGCCCGGGAGATCGGAAGTGACACTGACAGGCTACGGAATGCGGCACTCTCAATCTAGTAGATCGATTCCGTACGCTCATTCCGCAGTCGAACAATCAATTCCTTGGCGAGAACTGTTGTCTGTGAGGAGGAATCGCACCGGCTAGTCCCCAGTGGTCTGAACCCAGCTCTCTTCATCTGACTTTCCTTCTTCCTTCAACTCAGGTATAAGACCTCCTTTCATTCTATCATTCTTAGCTTGTCTTTGATCATCTGTCGCAGGTCAATTGACCCTATTTTGTACAAAAGATACATATGTTCCTTGGGTCTGACTCGCTGAGATGGCACGACTTTCAAGAGTTGTTGGCGCCTCGTAAGCCTGTTTCAATTACACCTGGAAGCCTTCGGCCAATCGCTTATGCACCCATAACTGGCATTATTTCCTTGTGCTTTGTGAAATGAAAATTCTTTCAAGGCTGCCAAGCTTTGTTAGATTCGTCACTTCAGGAATCTTTCGCAAGGACTTGCTCGATCTAAGATCTGGTACCGAGGCACACAATAGTGTAGGAGGACAAGACAGGAACCGTCGAAATTCAAGTTGCGGCGTGTGATATCAGCGGTTTTCAAAAGAGAGATGATTGGTTTACGTTCCGTCTGACTCTTTTTATGCCAGCTAATCTTTTCCCCACAACACGCAGTGCTTTTAACTGTCAAGGCTGACACTGTAGGTGTGGTGCATGGCACGGGACTCGGTGAAATTGGGATCCCGTTCAACCTCATTATCAAAACATCACCAAGTTTCGCCAAGTCTTTGGTTCGTCGCCGAGATGATGCGCAGCTGGGGAACCCCTATAATTGAGGACATCAGGCCACATGCTGCACGAGTAGACGCGGCCCTAGTTTACCTCCGTTCCGTCAACCGGTCTGGCCGGCATCCATCTTTTCTCGGAGGTGCTGGTTTCCCCGCTGTGGGTGGAGACAGGAATTTAGGCTTTGAGCTCAAAGGCTCGAATGCTACGTTCCTCTAGCAAGAGTCTTTATGAAAGCCCCGAAACTCACTGCTATTGGTATGAAACCTACAAGCCTACTAAGCTTCTCCGTCATTTTTGTTTGAATTGCGTTGGAAACCTTAAACTCTGGAACATTCATTCCATAGTATTTCCTGCCTAAGGGGCTTGAAGGCTGACTGTAATCTCACGACCACCTCCTCGCAGACTGAAGCCTGACGATTGGTTATTATTCTCAGTAATAATAAGTAGATTCATCGTCCCATCATTGACGCTGATACTTACTTGTACGTTTTCGAGCCATCGTTCACATTACACTCCAGCCGGTCGTCCGCCCATGGTAGTGCGAAAGTGATCTGTGCTATCGCCTGCTTTCTTCCGTCCTACGGTGATGGATTGAAATTACCAGTTGTATTATTATCCATGCCACCGATAATCACCGGCATGGGAAACTGGGTGCCTGAAACTTTCCTGGACTACGTAAATAAACTCAAGGGTACACGCGGCCTTCAGCAAGGGTTCCATTCTGTAACAGCAGCGGCTTACGATATTACCACTTTACCTGTACAGACCTAACAACTTCGGGGGAAAGCAAGCAGACCACTTTTCTCATCCGCCTGCCATAGCAGTGCACATAATTTTGGTCCTGCCGTTGACGTTGCCCGTATTTGGCAGTAGCTATTGCAAGACCTTCGTTGTGAGGAGAAGCGGAATGAGACGTTTTGGCCGTGGATCAGACCAAACTTAAAAAGTTGTCAGACCATTTATCTTTTATCGGGCAACGCTTGGCCGGAAATCCGTCAACTTTGTTAAAGTCCAATCTCAGGCCGACCGGCCGTCTTAACTCTGTAGCGGCTTGCTGGCAGTGTGCCAGCCACAGATGACTTACGAGTGCCTCGTATAACTCCAGACTACCAGCATTGGTTCAAACAAGTCATTTTTTAGAGTTTAGTAAGTTTAGGAAAGACTACACAAGGTTATTCACAGAGGGCTCTCATAAGCCGCAGGATCATTTACATTGGACAGTGCCGAGCTCGTGATTCCTCGACATCGCAAGTAAGCCATACTGTGCTCACCTAGTTGATTTGTAATTACGCAGACCAATAAGGTACTACCGAGCAGCAAGTAAATTATTATGAACCAGGAGCCCCCAAACCTGGTTTCATGTACCGTGACTGAAAAGCCTACCCGCTTTCTAGAGTGGCCACGTGCCGCACAGCACGCTCTTCTCCGATACTAGCTAATGGAAGATCCGGGGGTTGTACTGGGGACCAATGACTTTCGATCATTTACCGATATCTATATAAACTGGAAAGACGGATCGTTTGTCCAGATGAACGAGATCGACACAAGGTTGGTTTAGATCTAGATGGGCACTCCCGTGACAAAAGCAGGGCTATCTTCCCTTGCTACTACCGCCGTGTCAACCAGCTACTCAGCGTCCGGTGCAACAAAAGAGCCCATTTACGAGTTGTGGTGAACCTAAGCGTCTGCTAAGAGATTGTAAAGTCGTTGTCCTATCTAGAAGCTAGGTTGTGAGTCACATATGTGGCGCTCACTACTGGTACTAGCCACACGAAGCTATCCCAGGTTCACGACACGAGTCGTTAATGACTTTCTAAAAGCCATGGCATCAAATATGAGAACAGTAGGGTTCCCGCTCTATTCTTGCTATCTAGTAGGGTTACCGAATCGATGGCATTCGTGGTGTTTTGGTGACGATATAGCAACCGGCCCTGACTTTTGTCATACGAGTGATGGTCCAACATCCATCAGCACACTGTCTTCCAACCCCAAGTCAAAGGCCAGAACCTCAATTGATCATACATAATTAATGATGAACGCGAACTTCTCTAGGCTTTCAATCCGATACATCTTTTACATCATTCTTTCCAACCCACCGACTCATTCAGGTCACTGTCTTCCCACTATCCCAGTAGGGGAATGAGAGGAAGTAAAAATGCCAGCGATGATAGAATTAATGAGACAAACAACGCCACGGTGGATCACGCACAAGCTCTATAAGCCTGGAGTTATCGTCTGTGTGTCATCTATCTAGTATCACAGCAAGATTGTTTCCGTGGTTTCGTTTGCGTTTGCACCAGGATCGTTTCGTGCCAGCTGGAGACATTGGCGGCAATCGAGCGGCTTTTTCCTGATACTAGATCACAATTATCCACGCTCTCCAAGCACCCACGAGACGGATCAAAGGTTTGTACAATCGTAATTAGAAAAGACATACTGACATCTAGGGATTAGATGGCATGCCAAAGACACTCACCAGGCTGTCTGTCGCATTTGCCTCCCAAAGAATCCACGTTAGACTCACCTAAACCTAGACCCTCTCATCCTCAGAACAGCTAATCCGTAAATATTCTAGTTGATGATCGGTTAACGTGATCGTTAATCATGAGAGCTCTTGATACCTCGCAGCCTGGACAGCTGGGTCGATTGTTCTGGTCCTGGACCAAGGACAACATCCTCAAAGTAACAAATGCCTGGGACATATATTATATCTATTAATGAACTGGCTAGGTGCCCCTATATAGTTCCCACAAGCTCGTCAAAAGAACGACAAAGGAAGTTTCCTGTCCAAGTGTAGTGCCAATTCTGCATTGAATGCTGTTAGGCGATAGGGTACAGTAGCTACTGATACAGCTAATGTCAATATCTAGCCAAATTCGCAGGTAAAGCTCGACTTAAGATGATCTTTAGGCGTTGAGAAAGCTGCTACCAACTTTAGTCGGTCACTGGAGCAATCGGGAGCTCCCAAATCTTTCAAAACTTGGCCAACAACCATCAACGCGTCGAAAGAAAAACACAATGACAGCGGCGAAGGTGAGCAGGGAGACTCTAATAACTGTTGAAAGGGGGTAACAGACAAACAAGGAGCTCATCGACATGCAACTAACTCTCAAGACGATGAATCTGAAGTAAACTGATATCCAGGGATTCGGTGAAAATTGGTAAACTCTATCGACATATCTAGGCAGTATTGCTTGCCGGAACAAAGGGCCCACCACGGCTTCGCGTTTCGGGGGCATGTGGCTGCCATCAATTGAATCATTGGCACCATCCTAGGGCTCGTCGCAGGTTTTCACCGAGACAGAGGCGGCCATTCTGCAATCGTTCAGCTTGAGGACGGGTTTTCTCCATAAAAGACAAATTTTGGCGAATCTACTTTGTCCCGCAGATATTTCATGTTCGGAGAATATGACGATGTGCTCCGTTTGAAGAAGGGAAAATGTGAAAATGGGAGAGATTCTCGTGATCTATATATAAGTATATTATTCCCCCGGCATCAAAGTTATCCTAGACCTGATTCATATCCTGATAGCTTTCCTGTACCAGTAAGGCTGCTGATGCTATTACCAGAAAACGCAAAAGATAACCAAACACAAGGCGTCTCTATGCTTTTATTATTCTCCAGACCTACTCTATCGTATTGCTACTGTCCCATCAACAGAAGGGATCAAATGAGGTACCCAAGGAACCCATACGATCCGGGGAAGATCCAACTGTGAGTGCAGGTCTACGGGAGACTAAGCCCTAGTCAACCGTATCGCAGTCAAGGAGGTCTATCCTCTTCCATTTCTCATCAGTCTCAGTCACGGAAGTCTTTGCTCAGTATCGGAGCCTTACCGCGCTTGGCTACAAGGCCACATGTGGCATTCGTTTGACCATAGGGCAAACTCATATCCATCTGCCCTTCAACTAAAGTACAGCTAAAAGGCGGCCACTCTTGAGGCCGAACAGGTACACAATGATAGTCCAATACAGTGGGGAAACACAGTATAAGTATCATGATCGGCCATTTCACGTCATCAAGATATAGTCGATTTAGCATATTAGCATATTACGACCCTACCGCGACTCTGGCTTGGCTCGATGGAACGGGATGGTGTCATCGTAAAGCGGTCATGCGCTCACCTTTAAGTCACCAACTTGTTGGTACTCACGGAACCACTTACCCAAGGAAATCCAGCGAAATACGCAGTCGCTCAACTCGGGTCCTCCCTGGCAATCATTGCGTCACCTCTCATTAGTTCATGATGGCCGACAAAGAAGCCGGAATGGAGCGAAAATAATGAGAAAATATGAGAAACCATCGAGATTGGTGGATAAGCCAATTATGATCCACCTACTACTACCTTGGGTCTGAAACCGACGAAGGCAGGAGGGGCAATGTGGTTTTGTACATGATGCATGCTGTGAGCGACCGCTATCAACATGTCGTTGACAAGTCCAGTTGCTGTGCCGTGTCTTAGTATACAGCTCACTACACTTATGACCCTTGTGTTGCGGCGCAAAGCCGGACGTCAGACGAGAGATTGCAGTACCTATGCTGAAATGGGTACAAGAAAAAGACGCTCAGAACGCTGTGTATCCGGGCAAGGGCGGCAGATTGGCCGTCCACCACTGTGGTCGTCGTTAATAAGCAAGCCGCGCTGTTAAGCTTTCCCGTGACACGACGAAGCACATGGCCCAAGTGGAACGGAACAAAACGGTTCGCGGTTGTTGTGCGACTAGCGGGAGAGCTAGCCTGGCAAGTCCGGGAAGCACCTGGCCAAGCACCAAGGCTGCGTGCAAGCTACGACCGGGGCCCAGACTTTTGCGGGGAAACGAAGGGATTCGGCGTCTTGGAGGATGGTGATGGGTCATGGTCCTGGCAGCGAGTCAGGGAGGGAGGAGTGGGTGTGGATAGCCTGGGGAAATATTGAACAGAAGAGTTGGTCAGACTGGGATCTGTGGAGGTTGAAGGCAGGATTCTGGTTGGACTGGGAGAGGGTGGTAGGTATTATTCTGCAGCAGACAGAGCAAAAGGATGACGCACAATACCTGCTGCGGTATAGGTAATAATTGCATTACTAACACAACAGGCTACAGTGTACTGCCCAAGGTGGTATCCGAGAAGGATAAAGAGTTAGTAGCGAGTCGTGAAGTTGCATCAAAGGAAACAAGTGCTTCCCAGGTAGAGCCGGTTCGTCAATTGACTCGGGTGACCTGGGAGAAGGCGCTAGTCCACCAGAAAACGATGCTTGTTTGGCGGTTTCTGGTGCATGACAAGCCTGAAGGCCCCCACCGCCCACGTCCTTAACTACCTACAGCGGCTGAGAAACCAGGCGAGTTCGCCAATCTCTTGTTGCCGAGATCCTGCGTGCCGTCTGGAGCTCATCCTGGCCCAAGTGACGAAGCGTCATTGGTGCGGCGTGCATGTCGCTGACGGCCACTTTATCTATCCGGTGTCCATCCGGTGCAGCACTAGTGACTAGTCAAGGTGGCCCGTCTGCACGCCAAGTCGTCGTTGCCAAAGTGGAATGGGCCCCCCAACCTACAGGGCTAAAATGAAGATGGCTTGGTGGCCTACAGAATAGTACACGTAGTAGTACAGCGCACACTCTGCACTGCGTGACCAGCGGGGACGAGAGCTGGGTGGCACGAGTGGCCATGGCTCGGGAGGGGGACGGAGGGAGACGGTTGATACGAGTCCAGGTGCTAAGTCGAGATGCCAAGTCAAAAGGGGAAATGGACAATTCCATGTGCCCGTCTCGCCAACTACAGAGTATAAGGCAGAAAACTCGACAAAAAGACATGGCCATCGGGATCCTACACTCAGCATGGAAAAAGTGGCAGGCAGGGCCCTGCTGTTGCGGTCCGCACGAGGAGCCAAGTCCCGAAATCGCGCCGCCGAGGACAGACGGACAGACCTTGGGCGTAGGACCAGGGTTCTTTTTCGAGGCTCAAGAGGTTTTAGGGTGGCATAAACATGGGCAGATGGTGGTGCCCCCGGATGAGACCATGTCGGTCGATTGATGGTCCCAGGTGGCAAGAGCGCGTATGCGATGGCACGCGAGACGGGACGATTGTCCGTACTCTTGCTGCTTAGCGGTGGTCCAGACGGAACGCTGCATTTGAGTTTGGATGTGTTGACTTGGTTGAGTGCAACCGTAAGTGGTGGATCGGGGGCAATGTGCAAGAATGTCTCTGAGTGTGTGCAGACGTGTTTGTTTGTGCTGTGTGTGTTTGAAGAGGGGGGAGAGGGGGGAGAGGGGGGAGAAGGTACGTACCCGAGATGCTCGTTCTGCCACGAGAGCAGAAAGACAGGGGGGATGGGTCGAACAGGAAGGAGAAGAAATAGCTTGATGATCCTCACTCATCAATACGAGACTCTACTGCGTAGGCTAGGAGAGAGAGACACGCAAAAGAGATAAACGTGAGATTATGAGAAATGTCAAGAGGAGCATTTCTGTCATGCCGTAATGCATATGAATTAATCAACTGAGCCTCGCGTTGCTTCGTTATATTCTGACTCCATGCTCCTATGCGCCGTGAAATCCGCATCCAGTAGCGAAAGCAAAGTGTACTTTTCGTTTCATAACATGTGTATTCGCAGACCGCCTACCCACCTACCTACCCAGGCATGTACACTACCGGTAGGTAACGGGTGGAGGTAGCTGACTGATTAGGTACGGAATACGGATACGCTATCCGTACTTTCCTTTCCCAAGTCGCTCTCCTTCCTCAGCGTCGTTCTTTCCCCCCCCTCTGGTGACCGGTTTGATTACCCCGCAAATCATTCGATTGGGTGACGTCGACAAGCGGGGATTTGGCTGGCTCGAGGGCCGGCGGTCGACTGGCTGCATGCGCCAAGGTGGCGCTAGGAAGGACGCTAAGAGAGGGTACGTACCGGGCGTCAAGGTGGCTTCGCTGGAAACAACGCTTAAAGTATCTTGTCGGTGATTGGCCAGCAGGTCTGTGTGCTTCGTAGCCTCCGCGCCAACCATCTTGGGAGGGATGGAGAGGGCCCGGGGAAGGGTCTTGCCTCCTCGCGTGCCATTTCCTTCCCACATTCTCCCCCACAGCTTGCTTTCCCTATCGTTAGTGTAAGATGCGGGTGCAAGCGCAGATGCAGGTGCAGGTGCCGATACCAAGAACAGCAGGCACGTAAGTAAGAGAATGAAGGAGCAGGAAGGAACAGACAGACAAGACAGACAAGACAGACAGGCAGGCAGGTCCAAGGGTATTGGAAGAAGCAGCAGTCGCGAGCTGCGCCGCCTCTCCTTCCACGTCTCCAACAAACACACACACACACACACACACACACACACACACACCTCCATCCATCATCTATCCCTGCATTGACATCAAACCTTCTCCATCGTCTGGGCTGCTCTTCCTCTCCACAGGGACAATACTACGGATACAATACATCAGCAATCCACCAGTCCGACACACATCACAGCCATAGTGGACGTGCTCTGCCACTCCATCAACCAAGCCCGTCAATCACTTCGTCATCCAGTCGTTTTCCTGCCTAGCCCTAGGCCCAATATTCCTGCCTGAGCTAATCTTACCATCTGCGTGTGCATCTCCGTTCGACGGTGGTTGTCCCGCTTTTCCTGCAGACGCGTCACGCAAGCCAAACCACTGCCAGAGACATCGGCGGCGCTCGCTCTCAAACGCCGACCCGCCAACCGACCGACACCGCATTTGCCTCTTCTCCACACGCACCCGCCATCCCACCATCACTTGCCTGCCTATCCGAGCAACAACCTGGAGCGCCCGACTCCGAGCATCCCTCAAGTGTCCAAGCACACCATCTCAACCAAACCACCACCGCAGAACACTGCCCTGTCTGCTCGTCCGCCCCCCCCTAGCCCTGCCAATCTCCGCTCTCGACCCCCTAAGCAAGCTCGACGTCACTTAACTTAGAGCTCCAACCCGCGCCTATCTTGCCTAGGTACACGTACTTTGATTTGCAAGACCGCCGTTCAAAGGCACGCTTCGTCCGTCGATCCCCTGGCACAAACGAACACAAAGACCATCAAGTTCCTTCTTCTGACTCCCACCAAGCCAGCAAACCCCTTGATCGACGCTTTTCTACGGCGTACTACAGAGGTACGCTCGTCCCATCCCGAGCACTCCTTGTGAGCAGCCCTTCGTAACACGCCCTTGGTGCCACCCTAAATCGGTCCATCGGCCACTTTTGATATATAATCGCCGTGTTCCACACACCTGCGCCCGTCGAACGATACCCCGTTCGATCCCTCTTTCGATTCTTTCTCGACCTCACCCCACACCAGACACCTTCCGAAACACAACTCGTGCTACATGCACTTGGTACCCTCAACAACAACGACGCCCTGACAACAGCCGCATCTCAACTGACTACATATACTGCACCAAACTCGCTCCTTTTTTACCCTGCCCAACATGTCGACCGATAACTCAAACCCCAACACACAGAACAACCAGAACGAAATGCATCGCCAGAGACGTGGTTCCGTTACCCAACAGGCTATTGCTGGCCTTTTTAGGAGCAACTCTACTTCCAACGGAGCTGCCTTCCCCGGCACCGCCGACGCACAGAGACGGAGACTTTCCGTATCCACCGGCCTCGGTCTCGCTGGCACTACTCCTACCCCCGGCGGCCCCTTCAACTCCCTGAGGCGAGGAAGTCTGTCGACCAACTCCAACGACTCCATCGATGAGAATGCCATCGACGAGGAGGAGATGCCCTCCAACGCCCGCACCGCGCCCACCACCCCCTTTACTCGCAGAGTGAGCTTTGGAGCTCAGGCAATGCGCACCATGCGCACTGGCGGCGGAAGTCCTGGGTCAAACGGTAATAATCCACCTGTTTCTGCCACTCCCTTACCCAGTACGCCTGCCTCCTGCGACAGACGCAGCAGCACAGCTGTGAATGCTACGCCATCCATTTATTCCATCGCCGCTGCTCCGTCGTCGGTCCGGTGTCGCTCTAGTAGCATAGCACAGGCAAGCACCGCACACAAGCAAATGTCCATTTCTGACATGTTTTCGTGCCCAGACCAAGGTTTCAATTGGTCCGAGCAGTTTAGATCCCGCGCCGAAAGCTCTGTTCAGGGCACGCGACCTTCCTTCTCGTTCGGTTCTGGTCTTTCATCCTCGCCTACACGCGGCACGGGCAACGCCGGCGCCCACGACCGCCAGAAGTCTGTCTCCGAGATGCCCGCTCCCCCCGCCCAAGCTGCCGCCATGAAGCCCAAGGCCCCAGAGCGCCCGAAGCCTGATGCTTTCCAGGAGCGCATCCTGAAAGGCGACTTCTACATGGACTGAGAAGTCGACACGTTAGCAAGGCTACTACGATTGAAGTCGACCGTTTATGCCGTTGTAATCGGCATCGTACTAGACGGCGGCACACTACTCGAGCATGAATTTCAACAGAAAACGAGAGTAAGGATCATCAAGCGTTTCAAGAGTATCAAGCGTTCCTCATCTTAGTCTGTTCATCGTTTTTTTTTTTCCGCCGGTGGGATACCTCTTATGCCGACTCGACCCCACGTGGCGTTCGGTTGGTTTGATAAGGCGGTTGCGGCTTTGGTTTGGGTGGAGAAAAACACCACACCACATGCACACGAGAGACCTCTGTCTCACATTTATCACGGAAGCGGAATGGTATTGCAATTTCACAAGGAGTTCACACGAATGGCATGGGGGATTGGGGGAAGTCAATCGCAAATTGCAAGGCTTTGGGTTCAAAAATGAACCCGGTCCGGAAAAGACGGTCTCATTCATCGTTTGCGGCCCACCACTGCGAATTCTGATGGTGTCGGCACACTTGACATGATCATGGCTGGCGTACGGCAGGGAAGTGTTACTCTATCGTTGCATCGCTAGCCGTCAATCAGCAGCGAAAGCATGGGTTGGAGGATGGCGGTCATGGCGTCGACAATTGGACAGGCTGTGAAGTGGGCACATGGTCCAGGGCAAGATGGAGTGAGAAAGGGTATGTGTTTTTAGGGTTGCAGGCATATCCGAACGAGAGGTGGACGAACAGCTGGCGACGAATGTTGAGCTTATGAGCTTAGCTACCAAAAGAAATGCGCTCGGGCCCGAATTGAAAAGTTTCGTGGCCTCGAACAACAGCCTTTGTTTATTGACAAATTGCCATTGAACGCGAATGAATGGCAGCGATATGCTGATAAACGAGGCATGTGAAGCAATGACAGGTACGCCGACTCGCCGAGTTAGATAGTCTCGGCACCTCGGGCGCGCCCCGCAAGCCTCTTTCAGCGTGGGATTGAAATGGGTCTCCATTCCGGGAGCTCGGTATTCCGCTCCCATTCGTCGCTGCAGGGATCGAGGTCTCTCGCTAGCTCCTTGGATGGGGGAGGGGAGGCGGCAGCAGCAGCAGCAGCAGCTACCTATCATTCCTGAGTCCCGACGGGTCCTGTCTTCAACCCCCCTCGCGCACATGAAGGATTTCCGAGTCTGGGTGAGGTATTGTGACTGTCCCATCCCGAGGGGCGAAGGGGAAGAGGGGGAATGGGGGAATGCAAGTGGCATTGGCAAGACGGATGTTATCAACTGGTCTCCTTTTCCTTTTCCTTTTCCTTTCCTGTTCCCTTTCCCTTTCTCCCCCTCCTCCCCCTTTTTCTCCATTGCCCCCCTTCACCTCCCCCCGATCCAGCTTTCCCACCCCAGGTTCAATGAGCCGATAACCTAACAAGCACAGGGTTTCTTCCGAGGTGTCTTGCTGCGTTATAAGAATAAAAGTAAAATTGCGTTTTGCGGGACAAGCTTTCCAGCATGGTACATGCTCTGTGCACCAGTACACTACAGTGAGAGGAGAGGGGGTGGGGGAAGCCAGGGGAAAAGATATAGAAAGAAGAAGAGAGAGGAGGAGGGGTGGTGGTTTAAGATGTGAGGTATGTAGAGAGAGAGAGAGAGAGAGAGAGAGAGAGAGTTGCGCTTTCACCCCTCACCATCTCTCTTTCTCTCGCTGTCCAGACCAGCCATCGTAGTTTTGACTCCTCTCCCCCCCCCCCCCCCCCCCCCCCCCCTCCGTGACCCCCTTGTGACCCCCTCGTGACCCCCTCGTGACCCCAATCGTTTCCAAACAGACCCTTGGTAGATGTCAGAAAAGTAATCTTTCTTGGGGATGTTGTTCGCTTATTCCTCTTGTCTTCAACTTCCCCTGTATGTGTCGCCTCCCCGCGTGCGCGTTCCCCCTCTCCCTTTCTTTTCGGTTTCGCAGACCGACCGGCCCCATCCTTTGCCCCCCCCCCCCCCCCCCCCCAGGGTAGGTGGATCAAGTTACGGATCGAGGCATGTGATGATGGGAGAATCGGAAGGGAGGTATCGGGGTTATCGATCGTAAATGCCTTTCTTTTTTGTTTTTTTCTTTCTCTTTTCGATACCTATCCCGGTGCTTTTGGCGAGTAAATAGAGGTGAGAGAGGTGTCTCGGGGTAGAGATGGCTTGAAAAGCCCGCCGTGACATCCAGCGATTCCAAGGCTTTTCGGCTAAAACGATGGTGGGAGCCGAAGACCGAGACGATCTCTAGGCGCGCGTCCGTTTTTCATCTGTTTTCGCGATGAATGGGAAGCTCTCACATGGGAAACATGGGCGGCCCGGACGCCCCGGGCATCCCGTCAAACATGTCCCCAAGCCCGCCCATGCCGCTGAGCCAGGGATCCTGTGCCACAACGTAGCGCATCCCGTCGCTCAGGCTCCCCGGGCTTGCACCGAAGCCCGAGGTGAACTCTTCGAGAGTCAATCCCCCAGTGAGATCCATGTCGAGGCCGAGGTCCTGGAGGTCGGCCTGCCATGCCGGGTTTAACCAAGGCGTCGCGGTATTGGAGATGCCTGGGTTTGTGCCGGAGGAGGGTTGATCCGTGGTGCCGCCAGACGCCGTGTCCGTCACGGCGCTAGGGTCGTACATGAAGGATTGTCTCGTTGACGACGCCGACGGGTTCCACAGGAGGTTGTTCGTCACACGGCCCGAGCGGTCGTTTGTCGCGATCTCGGAGAGGAGGTGCAGCGGCGTATTGGCTGCGGGATATTCTTGCATTATAGGGGGGGCCGGTTGGTAAGTTTGCTGCTGCTGCTTCTGCTCTTCCATAGGGCCCGATTCTGTAGGCCGGGAAGCATGTGTAGAAGTCGGAGCCTTTTCGGGATGAGATGCCGTCGTCACAGGCGCAGTTGCACTCCTGAGCGATGACTGAGCCCCCTCTGCCGGCGCACTCGCAGACGGCCCTTTACTCTGCTTCAGGAACCAGCTCTTCAACATCACCAGCACGACCAGAAACTTGGCGGCGGGTCGGCTCCGATCGTCCGACGCCGCGGCGCGGAACTTTTCGAGAAGGGCGTCGAGATAGTACTCCACCTTCATGTTGTCTTTGTCAATCACCTTACCCAGCTCGGACCCGGGTGCCGTAGCGGAGAAGTATATTTTGATAAGCACGACAACGGAGTATGCCACGCGAACGAAGTTGAAGATAGGCAGGCAGCGGGCGTGAGGGACTTCTATGGCCAGGAAAGCCTCAAAGACGCCGTCGATGGCGGACAAGCACGCTGAAAGAGCATTGATGTGGGATGTTGTGAGTGTAGGGCTAGCCAGTATGCCGTTCCTAAGGGTCACTGAGTCGAAGGGCGGGCGCATTTCGTCCATTTGGGTATGCAGGGCAATCTCGTGCATGTAGAGAGAGATAATGTGGAAGGCCATGGTGAGGGTTGCTTTTACACGTCAGCCAGCGTCTTTAACATCATCATCATCATCAGCAGCAGCAGCAGCAGCAGCAGCAGCAGCAGGGCAACTTACCCTGCATTTCCTCCTTGGGCACAGACGAACGATACTTTTCCAGATCTCTCTCCAGCACCCTCAGAGAATACTGTGTCCGTGAATCCGTGATGCTGGGTACGATTCCCGGGTCGTCCATGGAAAATTGAATGCCCACCTCCTCCGCAAGCCGGTGCGTCCATACGAGATGGCAAAAGTACTTGTCCGTGGGCGCCGCGTCTGCTGATGTCTGCAGCATTTCCATCGACTCGGCCATGAAGGGCGTCCACCGCACCAGATTCGGCCGATGCAGAGCCATTGAGGTGTTCACTGCCAAGAAATACGCTGCCAGCCACGCGCGCCGGCACTCGATGGACGTCGGGTCTGGCGGCGGCGCCCGCTTAGATGGGTGGTTCCGCGACTGATACGGTATCAGTAGCCTCCTTCCGCCTGTCCGCCGCCCCAACCCGAGGTCGAGCGCCATGACAGCGCCCATGTGTACGAGCTGGTAGAACTTGAGCTCTTCAAAGTGCTCTGGCGGCCAGTACCAGATCACGGCGACCTGCAAAGCCTGCACAATCTCCAGGCTCTTCTCGCCCGTTATAATAATCTTTTCCGCAAAGATCTGCATCAGCTCCTTGACCAGCCTGCGCTGCACATTGGGCGACTCGGAGGACGCCGCCGACATGATGGCCAGAAACAGCAACGGTCTCGCTTTCCGCGTCTCGTCGGCTGAAGTCCCTGCTGGAAACACCACCGCCGGCATGTGTGGCACCATGTGCGCGTTGTATCGCTCGAACAGCTCCGCCGCCTTTTCAGCACTAAGGATCCCGCGCTCCACGACGTCGGCGTAGTCGCTGCCCATATTGATTGGCGGTGCTCGCCTTCCCCCGTCGCCGCTCTCGGCCATATCGCCCAGTATGTCTCCGCGGTCTGAGAGTTTTCTCTTCTGTCCAGCAGAGGGTGGAATCAGGGTATCGAACCGCCCTCTGTCCCCACCGGTTAGCTCTTGCGAGTCGGGCCTGGGCGCTTCTACGGCAGTCGTCTGCCAGTCCCTTGCCAGCCCGTGGTTTCCCCAGCCAGTCTGCTTATAAGGATTTTCATCCCTCGTCACGGACAGGCCCGTGGGCGCAATGCCGCCACCACCAATTGATGGCGCTACGGGGCTTCCACGGGCCTGCAGGCTCGCCGTCAACGCATCGATTTTCTTCTCCAGCTCCGCGACCCTACTGTCTGTCTTCTTCTGCCTCTTTCTGGTCGGCATCGTCACCACGCAGTTCCTCCCAGCCTTTTTGCACCGCTTACACGGGCCTTCGGGGTCGTTCGGGTCCGGCTCGCATCGTACTTTAAGCCCACGGCACGCCTCGCAGGCGCGCGGTCTCTTAGGATCGTCAGGAGTCCCGCCGTGTAGATCATCGTGCTGTGGTGTCTCGTCATTCGTCCCACCGCCATGGCCGGAGTGAGGCGTCTCGGGCGACTGGGTCTGGGGTTGGTGCTGCTGGCGAAGACCATGATGACCCTGCTCCTGTTCTTGGCCTCTGCGTCTGTTGTCGTCGAGCGCCGCAGTTGACTGAAGACCTCCATCTAGGTCGTCACTTTCGAGACTCGTGGGGTCTGCGCTTCGTAGTGCTGGGTCGAGGACTGTGGCGCCGTGGGCCATTATGAGCTTGGCGAGGTGTGGTGCTGTGGATTTATTATCGGATGATCGGTGACGGCGACACAAAATACCGACTTTGGATCGGGGTGCGAAGGCACCGACATGATAGACGCCGACATTTCCGACGCACTACCAAATATTAGTCAGCCTCTGGCCATTGCGCAACCCACCAAGCAAAGGCTGGAGGGGAGCAGAGCTGACTACAGCTTGACTGGTACTATCAAGTCCTCTCTCGAAGCGTTTAATGTTATTCGAGGACCGCGGATCGATTGGGAGTTTTAAATCGTTATTCTCGAATGAAACTAACTACTATCCAAAGATACTGTCTTGCACCCACGCTAAATGCGAACCTGAAAATCACAAGATCAAGCTGTGAGACACAGTTGATTGCCTTCAACGCCATGCTGGAAGCCGTGAATCAGACCTCATGTGAGCCGCGAAGGGCTTTACTACGAGGTGGGTGCACCTCGGAAAACAAACCAGCCATGTCCGTATGATACACCATTTTTTCCCGTAATGGCCGCCCCATCCCTCGTTACTCCAGGGCAGCATCATGTTTTACGGTGGCAACCTGTTACCTGCTCATCTAGGCCTTCTCTCATAAACATAAACGATACGGGAAATTGTGACGATTGCAGGAATAGCGATCGGTATTAAATGGTATGTGGAGGGCTCGGCGCCGATCCGTAATGGCTTGATATGTTCGGGTATATTGGCGCCATCGTGTCATCCATGCCCGCTGGGCCTGGGTCGTGAGACAAAACTTGAAATAAAAGTGCAAGGCATGGTATCAACGCTGCGTGTAAAAGAGTGGGTATGTTGAGGAATATCTGTGCTGAGACGACGAGATCAAGTTGGAGGTGTGATGCCCCCGGCTTAGAATTGCGTCTCTTCTCGCAGTCGGCTCTTGGAGCTCTGAGGGTTCAGGCCAACCACGTTGCCCATGAAGATCGCACTTTCACGTCTCTTTGGCTGGTCGTATGCGGCAGGACCGCCGTCATAGCCACGAGACGACCCATGGTACCCATTGCTTTGGTACGATTGCGACATATACTGCGGCTCGTACGCCATGGGACGGCTGGTCGGGTAGTTTGGCGGGGGCGTGGGTGACGATCGAGCACTCTGCAGGTCCTGCAACAAAGGTGGAGGCGTGGCACTCGTCCTCTGCTGGCCTGGCCTTGAATCCAACAATCTTTGGCGGTGGGGGGAATGGCTGGACCCGGCCGAAGTAGAAGGACGCCCATGCTGCGACGTATCATACAAAGGTCGATTGGGGAGCCCGTTGTTCATGGACGGCAGGGAACCGGACCTCTCACGGCCTGAATCTGCCTCTGCGAATGAGGACGGTAGCTCATACTCCTCGGGCTCTAGACCGAAAATACCAAAGTAATTCTGCAAAAGCATGGCGAAGACGGGCGCTGGTATATTCAGCGTTGGCGAGAATACGATCCCCACATTGCGGACTGTCATCTTGTTCATGTCTGCGTTGTTGATGATTTTGATCAAGAAGGCGATCAGATACTTCAGTAGGGTAGCGTTCGCTTGCGGTAGTCTCTGCACCAACTCGGACAGGGCGACAACTTTTTCCTTCTGACCCGACATCTCCGTCACTGCCATGAACTCTAAGTGAAGATCACGAGTGAGGATGGTCGTTGGGAGTTCGCGGAGATAGAGTTTCAGTAACGAGGCAACGGCGTGGATATCGTAGTAAGTCTCGTCAGTGACCAAGTTGACGTCTCCCTCAGTGTTGAATCGCTCACGAAGCTGCTTGATGACAATATTCGAGCCGCTGAGGCGGAATATGCCCTCCTCAAGAATCGCATTCTTGGCATCCAGGTACTGGATGCAGCGGTATACAACTGCCGGCAGCGGGACGTTGACATCGACAGGAGGGTTGAAGCGAACCGCCTCGGCCAACGGCGCGCCAAAGGCCTGACGAATGGGTCCCTGGTAGCCACCTTGAGGGGGCGTCGAGGACCCTAACTCGCTTCCGCCGAATAACGAGTCTTGGCCGTCGGACGAGGATCTTGCCTTGGCACCAAAGCCGAAGAAGCTGCGTTTTTTGATCTTCTTCTCCTCGCTGGCTGGGACGGCGAGTCCTCCACCAGCCTTGTTGCCCCACTGAGCGGTGTCTGCAATGACTTGAGGGTCTCGCGGGGCGGAGATCATAGGCGGCTGGTTAGACATCGCCATCGTCTCGGAGGGATGGTGGCTCTCTGGCATGTGGCCGGCCTGTCTGGGCCGTCCAGGCCCGCCGTGGTGGGGGAGATCCCCTTGGGATGTAGCGTCATACCTAACCCCTATGAGGTCGGAGTCAGAAGGCTGGTGCTGTGAGGCCGTCTTCTTGTATCGCTGCTGCTTCTTCTTCTCGGCGCGCTCTGCCGTGCCCGTACCTGGACGATCCTGTGCATGCTGCTTCGCAGCGTGGCTCTCATCCTCTTCAGGGTCCTTGTAATCGATCCATCTGAGCAAGGCATCGACCCATTGGTCCCTTTCCTTGTCGTTCTCGGCGCAGAGCACGTGCTTCACATGGCTGCTCGAGTCCTTTTTCTTGGGCTCTAGAATCAGGAATGCGTGGCGGTACTGGTTGTCCGTGTCGTCCGAGTTGGCTGACGGTTGAGGCGACTGGTTCTCGTTGCTTTGGGATTGCTTGCCGATTTGTGCACTGGGCAGTTTGATTGTGCCGAGGTGGGCGCCTCCCGGGGTTTCGTAATACTTCAGGTGAGGGCCATCAAGAACGAAAAAGCGGGCCTTCCAGCCGCCAAAGTTCTTCCCTCTCTTGGTGAGATAGCCGGTTCTGAAGGGACGGCCGCCCGGTCCCGAATTGGCCTTGGCTTCGACCATGCTCTCCATGGAACCAGCGTCATCGGGGTTGGGAGGGAGGGTATGAGTTGACAGGTACCTGCAAAGCTCGAGAGCGCTCGCGGTATCTAGCGGCGTGTCCAAAAGCTCTTCCAAGTAATGGTCCAGAGCGATCCGCCGAGCGTCAAGCTTGGCGGGCGCGTGACCGTTAAACAGCGACCTCTCAGGTGTCTTTGCAGTAAACGCTAAGCATTGTTTCAATCTCTGGTCCAGTTTGGCGAGGGACGCCGAGTCCTTCTCTACGCGCCAAAGCTCACCAGGCTCGGATCGCGAGAATACGGCAAGAGTAAAGACGGGATCTTCTTCCAGCTGTGTCAAAGACATCAAACTTGCTCGTGACGGCTTCATGCGTGAGGAAGCAACCTTGACTATGATTGTAGGCAGAACGTTGGGCGGAAGGAGTAGGTCAGGGTATTCTTCGGTGACGAATCCCTTGAAGATGCGGCCGCGTTCGGTCGGGCTTCCACGGCTCTTATCGCTGGCCGAGTCCCATCCCTGCTTGACAAGAACCAGGGGTTGGGGAACCTTGGGCTCCGTGGCCTCCGCTGAGGTTTGTAGAGAGTGGCCCGGAGGAAGAGGAATCGGCTGACGTGGTGGCCGGGGCGACAAGGACGCCGCAGGGAACGATGAGATACTGGCTGCCGGGCTGTCTGTCGACATAAGCCCTGGTGGACGGGGGCTGGAGGGCAAGCCAGGGCTAAGGAGCGGGGCCTCGAGGTTGCTGACGCTCAAAGCCTCGCCCAGTGACGCGGGAACATTTTTACCCTGCATCTGCTTCACGGGGCTTGGAGGCAATTCAGTAGGGGCATCCAGGTTCGCATGTGTCGACGTGCCGGTTTGGCTCTTCTTCGACAAGCTCCTCCTTTCGGCCTCCTTCAAAGCCAAGATTTCTCTGTCATGGTCATCCTCCTCGCGCGTCCTACGTCGGCCGCGTCGCTCGGTCAAGACTTCGTTCACTTCCAAAAGGTCATCGAAGTCGGATTCGCTGTCTTCGTCGTCGCGGCCGGGCTGAGTCTGATCCTGGAGCTGTAAAGGTGCTGGTGGGGGTTTGCGCGGCGGGGGCACCGGGAACTGTGAGAGGCCTTCATCCGATTTAGTTACAGCCTCAGAGGCCAGCGGTGGCTTTGGCGGAGGCATGCTTGGAGGTTGGCTTGGCGGGCTTCGGGATGGTGGGAGACCCAGGTTAATCGGAATATCCGCCAGGTCTTCGGCTTCGAGCTCCCTCCGAGCCATGTCCGCGGCGCGTTCCTCTGCATCGTGGTTAAATCGATCGTAGGCATGCTCATGTGCTTTGGGCATCTCGTGCGATGGGTCCAACAATGCACCCACGGCTGACGGGGGCCCGTTCGGCTGGTCTGCCGGGGGTGTGATCGGGTAGGGCGCCATAGCCATGTCCACGGGCGAGTGCTTCTGGCTGTCAGAGTCCAAGGTAGGAGAATCCGGTGCCGTGACCGGTCGCTCCTTGGGGGCGCTGACATCGATTGCCGGGATGCCTTTGCCCATGGGCATTTTGAGAACTTTGCTGGCGGTTTTGGATTCGCCTGGCCCTGTGTGTTCCGATGTTGACATGACTTCCTTCAACTTCTTTCTGTACTTCTCCTTGTCTTTCAACGCTCGCTCCAGATCCTTATTGAGACCTAGGATCATGGCTCTCTGCTTGTCGACGAGGCGCCATAGTTGTGCGTTTTGTTGTGACTGGGACTGCTTTTCTTTCAAAAGGTACTGAATTACCGCCTCCGGACTGCCCGCAGTTTTGATAAGCGCTGCAATGTCTGTGGGGTCAGACTGGCTCCCAGTAGCGCCCTTTTGGGACTGCGACTTTGTCGAGATGGCTGAGATGGCAGAGTCCATGGAAGAGTTGCGCGGGGCCCCTTTGCTAGGCTTCGCCCGCACAGCAGCGGCCGAGCCCCCAGAGGTGGACATTGGAGATGGCAGCGGACCTGCAAGAGGCCTTGAGGTCAAGACGGGCTCGGAAGCGCTTCGATGATCATTCGTCGGTAACGGTGATATTCTCGGTCTGCTATGGCTATCTGTCAGCTGTGTTACATGTGGCGGCGCGGGGGGTAACGGCGGGGCTGTCGAATCGGAAAGAAGCAATCGGGCGGTACACATACCGCCTTGTGCTGCGTTCAGGTTCCGATGAACCAGACGAGTCGCTTTGGTAGTATGTCTGCGATTCACCCAGGGCGTCAACGGGTGAGCAAGAATCGTCGGTAGGCGTCGTGGTGATTTCGGGAAGGGTTCGCGAGCGATGGGAATACAATATCCCAACGGGCGGAAAGAAGGATGATGACCGGGGTGAAAATGGACTCGTCGGGGAACCGACGGCGATGGTCTCGTGGAGTGGACTGGGTATCGGGCGCCAAGGGGATCTAAAGGGCGGAGGAGGGTATCAGTCAATGTGCTGCCAGGCCGAGTCGTGAGCCTAATCCCACAACGAAGCAAAGGCGGACGACAGGTAGAGGAGTTGGCGCAGAACTGTAAGTCAAGAAAGGATCGCGGAGCGCCAAGACGATAGCACACAATCTCCTCGCAGACCGGGTACCAAGAGAGAGAAGAGCGTGTGGGTGAATACTCGCTCGCTCTCCCTCTAGATGGGAAATGATCGTGGGCGTGGGATAGCCGAGTGTGGCTCGCAAATGTCTCTCTTTCCCTTTCCCTTCTCTTCTCTTCTCTTTCTCTCTACCTGGCGGTGGGCGCGTTGGGGAAATCAAGGTGGTAGGATCAAGGAAGGAAGAGAAGAATAAAAAAAGGCGACAGCGGCAGTGGCAGCGAGAAAAAGCAAAGACGCACAGCGACACCAGAGCGAAGCAAGACAGGCAAACTGGGAAGGAAGAAGGGGCAGCGAAGCAGAGCAGAGCAAAGAGTGGGCCGTTTCTTCTTTGGTAAGCGATACCCGTGGAACGTACCTTGGGGATGGAGTAAGTAGAGGGCTGGTGGGACTGTGACTGGCAGCGGCAGTGGTGCTTATATTGGCGGTACTGATGGTAATGCTTGCAGGATCGGAAACCGGGATCAAGAGGCCTGTCGCGGGGCCATCTTTGGAAGAAGGAAAAGAGTGAGAGGAGATGTCTGCGACCTGAAGCCGGTGAAGAGGGTGTTTTTGGCGAGGGAGGCGAGGATGATGAGTCCCAGGAGCACCGGCGAAAACGGGAGCATCGATGGATTCGGTAACGGCAGCAAGACGTGACGTGGAAGCAGTCGAACCAGAAGCATCAGAATCTGAAGTTGAGCCCTGGGCACTCCGAGTCTGGAGCGCGAGCTGCGACATGGTGGGCAATGCGACGGGAAGACAACTGACCGACGGTACAACTAGGGGGGGGTGAGGGGGGTGGGTGTGCAGGGTCAGAGCTTAACGCAGGACAACCTCGCAGCGGTTTCGAGATGCCTGGATGACCCTGACTACCGTTGCATATAATTAGGGTAACCGGCCTCTTTCTTATCTTGGTTATGTATATCCGTACAGTCCAGTGTATGGAGTCCCCTTCTTCTTCTTCTTCTTCTTCTTCTCGGGAGCGAGCGAGCGAGCAAGCAAGCAAGCCGACAGGGATCGAAAGGCTACAGGCGGAGCGGAGGAACCAGGCTTAACCAGGTATCGTAGGTACGCGCGTGGACGGTTATTGATGGTAGTGGGCGGAGGGTGACGCCGAAGCGGGTACACAGTCGGACAACAACGATGAGATGGATGGGTGAGATTCGGGGTGCAACTGCTGGATGGCGTCGTACCTATTACAGGGCGTGCAGGGTGAGATGAGGAAAAGGTGGAAAGGAAATGTTGTATACTCTTGCCGGAACAGAGGGGCAGATGATATCAGGTGAATGGCATCTCCCAATGAACGTCCTAAGGCAGGGAGGGAGGGCTCGTCCTTTGTCGTACCTTGCTTGGGTGTGCTTTGTGGGAGGAATGCTCCAAGCTGGGAGGGGGGTTGACGAGACGAGTGGCCGTTGTCTTGTAGGTATACCGGCGTGGAACGTTGGTGTTGACGGGGAGGCAAACGGCACTGGAACCAACCAACCAGGCAACTCGGTTTCCACGGAAAGGTGGACAACCGTAAGGGTTGAAAGAGCAGCACGGGGTCGGTCGGGCGAGGAGGGGGGGAGGGAGGACGTGGCCGTTGGCGTAAGCGAAGTGTAGGTTTCCCGATGGGCAATGCAATGCAATGCGAAGAAGCTGGGACCAGGCCAAAGTTGGCCAACGGTGAGAAGAGACAGACAGACTTTTGGTTTTTGACGAAGGAGACCCCTTATTTTCTGGTTTGGACGTTTCTATCTAGCAACGCGCGAAGGGAGTCTGATAGTGGTCAGACATTTGCGGCTAGGATAGGATAGGGGCGCAGGAGCAAAAGGCCTAAGGGAAGGGGGAGAATGCAAAACATCAGTTCAGTGCATTCCACGACACCAATGCTTCCTACTACCTCACTAGCAGCCCCGCGGCATTTGCTTCGTGTGGGTGGACGGTCACAGCATGAACAGGGACAGAGGAGCATGAGCAGGAGCAGGAGCAGGGACATACATCTGGAGGTTAAACGTAACAAGGTACCGGGGAGTACCTGAGATGGGGGGGGGGTGTGGTCCCGCGGTCGGATGCAACTCAGAGCAAGGTAGTGACCGGGGGGAGGAAATGTACCCTTCGTCGTCTCTTGTCCTCTTGTGGTACTTCCGGGGGGATCAACAGTGACGAAGGAAGTGGTGATGGGTGATAGTTGGGCTCGGTGGGTCCCGTATGTTTGCATCTGCTGCTGCAAGACGTCGAAAAAGGAAAAGAAAAAAAAGGCAAGAGAGAGAGAGAGAGAGGAATGGATTTTGGACGGTTTCGGCTGGCTGTAGTTGCTGTTCCTGGCCCAAGCTACGTAGCTACCACAACTGAAATAAGTAAGTGCCTTCGACGGGAGAGTGGGGTGTGTTTGGGTGTATGGCTATGATTGGACTTTGCGAGGGAAGGAAAGAACAAAGGAGAGAAGATGAGTGGCAGAACCTGCATTCTCTCAGAAACATACATATGCATGCATACATACATATCGGTGAGATGGGTTAATTGAATTGACATTTGGCAAAAAGTCACCTTCGGCATTGACCTCGAGCATCATTTTACGTCCCTTTCTAGTGTGCGTACTATCTCTGTTCCTCCCTCTCCTTCGTCCCAGACGGTAGCACTCCTCCCTACGGCTAGACTTTGAGACGGACCGGGGAGAGAATGCTGATAAGCAATACTATTGAAAACACGGCCATCTGTTGCGCAAAGCTTGCCGGCAACGAAGGGTTCTCATTGTTAACGAACAAGGTACTTGCCTACGAACCCAATCATGTCAGTCAGCCTTTGCAAGTCCTGCGCTACGAGCTAAGAGCGGTCGAACAATCCGACTTCAGAAGAGGGGGGGAAACAACTTAATCTCCCTTAGGTCGGACAGTCAACCAAAAGCACGTCCTTGATGGTTTGTCTGTTTTAGAGCCTGCCGCGGCGGCAGCAGCTATTGGTCCATTGATAACGATAGGATCCCGAGTCGTGTTTTTGTACCTATCACGCGGGTCTGTCGCGGATTGTACATGGGAAGTACATCAGTGGAAATACATCAGAAGAAGAGGGCAGCTGCTCTTGCCGCAGCTACCGACCATCCTTTAGCTTTGTCAACCAGTCAGCAGGCCTGACGTGGGAGGGAAAGAGCAGCCCAACCTACCTACCTACCTACCCACCCAGGCAGGTAGGGAATTACAGTTTCCTTCCTTCCACGACTTACAAATGATTCGAGTCTTGCCGGACCACTGAAAACATGCTCGGTCCCGGAATCTCATCTCCTGTTCCCCTCGTCATGCACCTGCCCTCATCTCCCGCGTCAGCCACGTGCGCGGGGCTGCTTCTTCACGTTCAGCGAATGTGTCCAACTAACTCTCTTCAAGATACTCCATGTCGGGAAGCATCTTGCCCTGCTGCTCTCGCCACGCCGAGACTACATGACGGGCTGCTCGAAACAAACCTGTAGAGTCTACGGATACCAAGGCACGACTTACACCCGCGGAACACGCACGCCATCTGTCAGCTTTCTTTCTCAATCCGATGCGCAAAACTTATTCGCACCCGCTACCTAATCCGCGGGGATTCGCCGTTCAAGCCGGTACGTCCCTGTTCGAGCCAACCTTGGGTGGCTCAGAGGTTCAGATGCAACTTGGAAATCCCCGCGGGGCCGAATCCGGTCTCCGGCAGCCCTTTTTTCCTGGCTCGCTTCTGCAATGTCCCTCTACCTGGTCTCCTTAACGGTACCTGCTGCGGCTCTCGTCAGCCAGCCTGCCCTTCTCTCTCTCTCTCTCTCACTCTCTCTCACTCTCTCTCACTCTCTCTCACTCTCTCTCACTCTCTCTCCCTCACTCTCCCTCACTCTCTCTCCCTCACTCTCCCTCACTCTCACTCTCTCTCACTCTCTCTCCCTCACTCTCCCTCACTCTCCCTCACTCTCTCTCCCTCACTCTCCCTCACTCTCACTCTCGCTCTTTCTCTCTCTCTCACTCTCACACACACACACTCAACCTCTCGTGCGAGTGGCACCTCCACTTCTGTAAGGCACAGATGCCGTGCCATCGTGGCCCGCACACACCACCCCAGATTCTTAACGCCACAACCCAAGGTCTTAATTTAATTTCGGGCCTTAGGAGGCCTTAGGCTGCTTTGCTCCAATCATCTACCCCTTCACTTCTTGGTGGTCTTGTCCCCGTTTGGACGTTGAAGTCCCGGACCTTTCCAGGCACACACGAGCGGGGAGTGGTCCAGGCAGCCCACAGGACATGTCGCTTCTCCCGGGATTGAAGCACGACAATTGTGGGCTTTGGCCCTGGGATTGGTCTCAACCTCGACGAGGTTTCTGCCAGAGCCTCCTCTTCTGTTTACCTACTACTACCCGTACTGTCTGTCATATTTGACATGCTATTCAATGCGTGCCCATCGACGTGTCACTATCCTACGGGAATAGCAAACCCCCGCAGCGGCCAGACGCCAGTGTCACCGCCTACCCTTCTTCGTCTGTCAAACAGACTCCAGAGGATGGATGCTTCACCAGGAGGTTCAGACGCAGTCTGCCACGTTGCACAGTGTTGCACCCGTCCAGATTGCTCAGCCCCTCCTGTCCTCTCGTTCGATGCCCCCTCGCTCCATTTTAGAAACCTAGGTACTGTTAAACGTAGCAATGGCTGTTTCTTCCTTGTCGCTCCGCTGCCTTGAACTGGTTTGGTATGATTGTATACTCCGTCCGTTATGTGTTATTCAGGAGGCGGCATCTCTTCTGCAGGTATCAACACATTCCATCGCGTGCAGAGTGTGTGTGCTGGGCCAGGGAGTAACTACAGAGAATTCATAGTCGTCGACTTGACCCTTGAGCAACCCAGGTCTCGCGGCCACCCATCACCACAACCCCTCCCTTCCCTTCCCCGACACAATGCCGCGTCCATGCTATTGAATTACAGTGTGGTCTGCGTAGTAATGTAGCTACCTTCCCGATTGTGCCATTGTGCAGGTGCACAACCCTCCCGGCTGTGGTCTCTGGCATGATAGTGCCGCGACTTTGGGGGTTGAGGCATCGACGAGGACACACTTATCGGCCTGCTAGTAGCTGGATCGCTGGTGTTCCTTGAAAGTCGACCGACGGCTCCGTCATGCCGCCGTCATGTCGCAAAGCATCCCGCCGACTTTTATCCAGACTGTATAGGTGTTTGCCCAGGTCCGAGGGGATGGGCAAGAAGACGTCAGGATCGGATGAAACGGTGCAATGGTTCTCATCGGACCGGCTCGTTAGGCTTTTCGCCTCGCTGGCCGCCCTCGCGATAAGATGGAATATTCAACTGCCAGGCTAGCCGTCAGTGTACCGTCTTCCTCCAGTCTTGCCCGTCAACCTGCCGCGGTTCCTACGCGTCGGTTTTGTGCTATCCTTTCAGCTCTGACCTGAGCGCCTGGGGAAACAACGACGAAACCTTTCCGCCCGGGATCATTCTTTACAGCCCTCCTGGAAGACGGGCGTTCCGATAGTAACCTTCTTTTCTCGCAAGAGTATGCATGAACCATCCCTCCCAACCAGATTCGGGAACCTTTCTCCTCCAAGTCATGAGGTCATGCAGCGCACCCGGGCACCCTGGTCGGTGGCTTGAGCCCCTTGCGAGCGCTGCTCGGCTGCACTTTGCTAAAGGGTCCAGGCCTCACTTTGGAACTCGGCAACATAGCGACATGGATGAAGCTTAGGGCTCCAGACATGAGTAAGCCTCGCGCAGTTTATAGCTCTCGTCGGCGACTTCGTTCTCGCCGTCCGATTGCCAGAACAGTGGCACCTCAGCATTACCGCTCGGCTAGGACGTCAAACAACATCCAGCTATTTGGCGGCCGTGAGCATCTCATTACCACAAAGTAGGCATCCTCAAAGCCACCTCGCTCTCCAGCCAAAGGCGGATCGTGTCCATCACATCACATCTCAACTTCATGTATCCAGTCAAAGCACTTTCGAAAGTCCCATCGCCCGGCCGTCTTCCGTGGGAGGTGCGAAAGATGCTGCTCCCCACCAACTTGCCACCAGATAATGCTATGTATGTACACTGCATCCTAGACACGATTTCGACAATGGATAAGCTTGCTTGCGACTGGCAGGATCAGGCCATGTGTGTCGCCAGACCCGCTTGCAGCCGGCTTTCCGTGGCAAGGCGAGATGGTAATTGCACGGTGACATCTATCTGTTCGGCCCCTGGAGCTTCGCGGGCGTAACACAGCCGTTCTTTTCCCAATTCGAGAGTTGTCCCCGGTCCAGTTTGAAACCCTGGCACATCTACAAATCTCTATCCGCCAACGAGAGTACTGTATGCTGCTTACTCGGACAATAGCAACCGATAGTAACGAAGGAGGCGGGGCATCTCAGGGGAGGGATAGTCTTTTTTGGCCCAAACAAGAAGCCAATTTAACCGTGCAGCAACGACTCACGGCGCTGCAACTCTTCTCATCTGGCGCAACCCCCCCCCGACTTGCAGACACCACCAGATGGGGTCTGCCAGGAAGACCCCCGTCCCTAGCCTCGCTTTGTCCCGTAGCGCCTCGGCGGCCGGTGGATCTAGCAATTTCCATCCACTTTGTTATGTGCATTAGACCCAGATGACTGACCGCTCAAGCCGCCGGGTCCCGTTACATCACAATGGGGCAAATACATAGTAAAGAGAGGAAATACAGGGAAATGGAGCTGGCATTGAAATCAACCTGGCCCACCCCCCTCCCCTCCCTCGCAAGCGCGTCGAGAGGGGAAAATAAACAAGACAGCGAGACCCTGCTGATGGTTAACATCATTGGCGGCCTGTGCCTGTCGCTCGAAAGCCAAGTGCTCAGATCGACGACGGGGGACCAATCAGGTGTTATGGGAGGGAAAATGTACTTGGACCCTGAGAAAGACAAGAGGGAACCAGCTCCACGTCTTGTTCAACAAGGGAAATTGCAATAACTCTCGCCAACGTGGACATTTGATCATCGCGCAGCTCTGATACTGCGACGAGCGGCCACGACTTCACGCCGTCCACCCCTCCCCTCTGATTCGGATCTGCGTAATCATGGAGCTGAAGAGAACCTGAACAAGCCTCGACAAGCTTCACTTCCGTCGTCGTCGTCGTCGTCGTCGTCGTTGTCCTCGCCGTCGACGACGCCCGCGACCGCCTCACTCGAGACTGTAGCTCAAGCCAAGCTACAGCTTGGTGGTTTCTTTTTCCTCCCGTCATTGACGGGCCTGGTGATACAGAACGCAGCAAGCGCCCGTTTAGCTTATTTGGCAAACATGCAGCTGCATGCAAGTGCTTTGACGCTCAAGATGCCGCCGAGCGCCACAGTGGCTTTGGCAGCCTCGAATTCAAATTGAATGCAGAAAGACGGCGGCGCTTGCTTGCTGCCATGCAGGTGTCGCGTTACAGAGAGAGCTCTGTCATCGACCGCACTCGGATGGAGAGATCTGGCCAAGGCACATTCGTCCGATATCATTCGTGTCATCCTGTGCCTCGTGCCCGATTAGCTCAAACTGCGTAGAAGAAGTATTTGACATTCGAGTAGCTCCCCTCCCCTCCCCCAGGCGTCAGGCTGACACGACACTGTAATCTCGAGCATTCAAAGTTCGTCCGGACCTTGACATCCACACACTCGTGTGTGCCAGGGGTTATTCTTTGGCGCCTTACGGTGTCACAATCGAGCCCCAGGCAACCTTGTGTGTCCGAGGATCTGAACAGGCATCGAATTACGGGTACCACGGGGCCTGGGTTGCGGCTATCGGGGCTATGGGCATTTGTCTTCGAAAGAGCCCTGCCCGCGTGTACGTGTAGGTGCTCGTTCACCGGGAGTAACGTAGTTCTGCGCCGTCGCCACATGGACATCAAAAAACTGTCAATCACGCACGTCTTGAGCAACCTGCCGCGAGGCTGACCATCAGACCAGTCAAGAATCCTCACCGGAGAGGGGACAACCTTTGAATGGGCTCGTATTATCGCCTAGATGGAATTATTGCCGCCGTCCATCCCCGTGCGGCGACTAGTTTTTAAGCCACCCATCATCCATCAACCGACCCCAACGGGGGGACTCGCTACCTAGATATCCAGGCCCTCGGTATCCGGGGTCTGTTTATTTCTCGCCTGCTGTGCAACAGATCCATTCGACCTCGGCCTGCTATTATGTTTTGTGAGTCTGTGACATCTCATCCAATGGGGGGGAGGGTTCGGTAATCGTCTACCGACGCGCTGAAACGCGAAATCCACCGCTCCCATGACCGCAGGTCGTAATCAGCCTGAAGACTAACCGGCGTCGCGGACGTGTTTCAAATGCGCCATCAATCTAAGGGGAGGATCCCCCCTCGCTTCACCACCCATCAACGCTTCCACCCCCCCCCCCCTGCCAGAGCCGAAGGACGACCACGGAGAGTACCTCACGTGAACGTATATTTCAACACATTATCGTTGGGCGCGTTGCGGATGTTGAGATGACGGGCGTGGCAATCGGACGGACAGCCCGGCCCCGGCATCCAACACCCGTCGGCGAGACGCGTTGAGCCGCGCCCAGGACATTACCGGACGCGGCCCCGTTGTTCCCACCGGGGCGTGGGCGCTGTCACGATCTGGCACACGGTCGCAAAGGCCAGCTGCCGCGTGCCCTTGCTCGCAAATGCATGCGAAGCGACTCGCCACCGCCGATGGAGGTGTCATGCTGGTTGAGATGGGTCCCATCTCGCCGCGATCGCGGCAAGTGGCGACGTCGGCGGTGGTGGTGGCGGGCGACTCGGAAACACATAGGTACTCGAATCGCGCGGCAAGGGTTGCTTTGCATCCGATCCAGGAGAGCGGTACGCAAGTCCCAACAAGAAGGCCTTATTCGCGTCTCGCATGTACCTTCTCACTGCGTCATGTCCTTATTCCTCGAATTGACAATGGCTGATACCTAGTGCTTGCTCGTGTGCAGCGTTCCGGGCAGACAATGCGACGCGGGGCAGCCAGCTCGGGGGGGTGTCCCTCCGAAGACGCGACAAGGGGCTGGACGAACGACGAAGTGGCCTTTTGGACCTTGTACTGGGTGCCGGGCCCGAGTCATCGAATTACTCGACCATGTGCCTTTGCCGGAGTCCGGACCCATTTGGGCTGCTTCGTGTTCGTCCGTTCTGTCTTGAACGCCTCCAGCGACACGTCTATCACGGTGCCCCTAGTAGGTGATCCAGTCGGTCGCAGCTCCTCCGCAACAGTCAGCGCGTCGCTAGTCGTGCGGGATCTGCAGAGCCCTTGGTCCCGCGTCAGGTTGTATGGCGGTGCCGCGCTCCCGACAATTGGTATCATCTAACGGTCACCTTGTCTGTTCGTGTCGACCGGTTGAGCTGGGTCCAGTGGCCTCACGGGCAGGTCATGGGAACCATGTGTCCTGCTTTGGAGCTCTCCTTCCCCCCGGACTCGGAGACGCCGCTGCGGTATTACGGAGCCCGAGCCCGAGTCCGCCCGGCGGTTTCCGTACCGTTCTCGGAGGTTGTCATATTCGGCTTTGATATGTTTTCGCTCCAAGCTCCTGGCTGGTGACGAAGGCTTACGGCCTGCATACGAGAGGCTATGTTTCGGCCATGACCAGCCGGCTTCATCCGCATACTTGCATTTCCGAAGAACGGGGGCTTGACTGATGTAAGTGCTCTTACGGGACCGTTCTGCGTGAGATCTCGTGTAGTCACCATCTGCTACCGAATAGTTTCCTTTCCGAGACTCTGCTGTTCTTGCAGTCCTCGTGAGCACTTGAGGCGTTCAGCCAAGAAACCGTAACACTGGACATTCCGCATTCATGATCAAAGTAGACAACATAGCCCCAAAAGCCGTCATCAAACAGTCTTTTTGCTTGTTTCTCTTTTCTCGAGGCCGGGTGACATGGGAAGGAACTGCGAACCCACGCCAAGCCGGCGTAAGCGCACAGTCCTGGAACGGCCTTGGATCCCGCAATACGGTCGGCCTTCCCGGGAGCCGATCTCGCGGGGTGTCGTGCAAAATGGCAGCGATTAAGCGCACGCGAGAGGTGGGACCGTCCAGCCTCGTGGGTTTCCTATCTGGCACGAATCTGGTGCAGCGAGAGAGAGGGAGGGAGAGAGCGAGTGGTCTCTTGAGACGTTCCGTCCCCCGGGGTCATGTCGCAGTTACGCCTGTTTGGGGTTGGGGGGGGGTGCTGGGGGGTCCGAAAACGTCCCAGGGACGATCGTGAGGAGGAGGGCAAAAGAATAGAACTGCCAAGTGATAAAAGTAGCCTCAGATCTAGTGTATCCAGCCCTGTCACAGCCGTTGCGGCTCCCCCGGTCCTGACGAGAAGCCCAATGTAACCCTCCTCTCCAGCAGCTCGGGGTAGGGGGGAGGGGGGTGGCCCGTCATCTGTCGTCTCAAGGAGACGACGCCTGCGATCTTCGAAACACGGGACCCGTCGATTGGCTTATTTATTTATTTTCGGTCAACTTTCTTATTTATAAAAATAAACCACAAGACCCGGCTCTTCTCGTTCGACTCGTCCAAGGGCGGCCCGGGCTGTTGTTGCCTCGCCTACGGAACATTGATGCCATATATCTCCCCTGTCTCAAGTCCCTACCGCGCCACGCGTGCCGGTTCGATGGAGGGGCTTGAAACTTCGTGATGGATAACCGTTTGGCAGGTGGGGGGAGGGGTTCCTCAGACGTCATGGGACACAGTTCAATGCTAAACTTGGCGGAGTGCGTCCAAGGGGAACGAGGGGGGGATATCTTTGTCCGTGGGCGACACCAACTTCCCTACGACCTCATGGGCATGAGCTTGGAGGTATGGGTCGAGGCCCTCGGTAGGTGAGTCGCCCTGTGTTGGACGGCGGAAAGGGCTGTGGCATCTCATCGGCTGCCCACTGCGATGCGAGGTTACGCAAGATCCATAGACTGCTCTGCCTGCCCATTTTCGAAGGGGCGAACCGAAAAGACGACAACACGGCCCCGCCAGTCGGTGTAGTCCAGCAGGTGATACGCGGCATCTTTTTTCAACCTCCCTGGCAGTTGTTGGCAACGGCTTCAGGCAGATATACACATTCAACAGGTCCGAGAAATGGAGGTTTGCAAGGTAAAACGGTCGTCATTTCATCTGATCATCATCAAAGGCTTTCTATCATGGCACGTATAACCGCGTATCGCCGACACAAGCCGCCGGCTTTCTTGTGAACTAAATAGAGGAAAGGAGAAGAAAAGCAATTCCAGCCGTAAAAAGAAACCCAGGCGACAAACTCCTTCGCAAGCATTGTATCCCGTCCCATCGTATCAAAAGACCGTGTAGCACCGCTAAGAGCAAACATGTCCGACAAGAGCATCGCTGTGTACCACCCCAAAGCAAACTGCCACCAAACTAATCACTCCGCCAATTTTATACAATAAGAAAACAAAGGCAAGGAGTACATCTTCTTTGGGAAGGGAGGCAAACCAGGAGGAGGGGACAGGAAGAGGCTTCATCGCCGGTAGTTGTACTCCCTCTCCCTCCTCCGGTCCGAGATGGTAACGCGCATCCGCTCCTCCTCGGGCGGAGGGGGCGGAGGTGGCAGCATCCGCGGCGGGCTGTACCGCCTCCCTTCAACGTACCGAAACGTCTCGTACCGCGGCTCGGCGGGAACGGGGACGGGGTACGGGACTCTCACGGGTACAAGCTTCTCCCGCTCGACGTACACCTCGCGGACCTCCCTCTCGCGGTCCCGGCTCCCGCGGCGCGAGTGGCTGTGGCTCCGACTCCGGCTGCTACGCGAGCTCTTGCTCGACTTGACAGACCTGACTGAGGGCTCGACGTCGACGGCGATGACCTCGATGGGCGGCGGGGGCGGCGGGGTGACGGCTTTGGGCGGCGGGGGCGGAGGAGGGCACGGCAGGGCCGGGGGCGGGGGCGGGGGCGGGGGCGGCGGTGGAGGGGCCTCGACCTTGGGCGGCGGCACGGGCTCGGGCGCGACGATGACGGGAGGGGGAGGAGGGGGAGGGGGTGTGCACTCGCGAGGCGGGGGCGGGATGAATGTCGTCTTCTTGGTGCGGACGGTGACGGAACCGTTGGTGGGCGGCTCGAGGTAGAGGCGCTTCTTGGCGCCGTGGTGGTGGTGGCGGTGATGGTGGTGGTACTCGTAGTATTCCTTGGAGGAAGCTGGTGGAGCGGGGACGTTAGTTGACATGGAGCGTGGACGTGACGTGACGCCACAAGGTGACGTCAGGATTTTGTTGGGGCTCACTCGTACCCATTGTGGACGGCTGGATTCGTTCCAACAAGGACAGAGACAGCTGTGTACACGTGTTGTGTATGTGCTCTGTGTGAAGTTCTGAGTGCGCCGATTTGATGGCCTACACTTTATGCGACGTTGCGGCGTGGAGAAGGGGAGTTTGAGTTTATACGTCGATTCGAGTTGTGGGTTGGTTGTGCAGGCGGAAAGGCGCAGACCCCCAAGGATGGGATGAACCGCGAACGCGATGGGATGAGCTGCGCGACGCGATACGATGCGATGCACAAGCAAGCAAGCAAGCAGGGGGGAGGGGATGATGAGGGGTTTGCTGTTGTTCGGCGGGGAACTCGCAAATCCGATTTGCAGTGTGCGATGATCGGAAAGAGAGCCGATGATCAACTGCCGAGGCGTTTGTCTTCAAATAAGTCACCAGTGGCGGGAACCCCAGGTAGACTAAAAAAATAAAATAAAGAGGCTGTGGATGTGGTGGACGTTCGTGGGTGGCGTTTGGAAAAATATGTGGAAAGGTTCGGGCGAGAGGAACTAAAGGGAAACGATGAGCGGGGAGAGAGAGGCGCTATCCATTATATAACTGACAACCACAACCACAACATCACCACGCGAGAGAAGTGTCCGGGCCTAATCAGGGTGTGGGCTGTGTGCAGGAGAATCAAGGTCGGCCTGCCTCTCACTGCCCCCGCCGCCCCCCCCCCCCCCCCCCCCCCTCTCATCCACGCTCATGGTGAACCACACCGAACGGAAAGACGAGCGGGAGAAATGACATTACACCACCACACCCACATCGTCTAGCAACCAGTCGGCAGCCCAAGAAAGAGGCGCCCAGTGAGGAGGGGACATCCACGCAGGCTAGGCTGCCAGGCATCGGACGCTAGCATATGGAGAAGAGGCTCAGGCAAGGCACATGATCCATTTCCCTTATTAATAACAATAATAAAATGAAATCAGAAACAAAAAATGGAAGGAAAGAAAGAAAGAACGGCACGGAAGGCCCGATCGAAGCTGCACGAAAAGAGTGGAGGGAAACGAGGCGGAGTGTTGGGCAGAATGGGAAGAAGATGCATATGCAGAAAAGCACCGCCTGTTTGACCGGGGGAAGATTATTGACCAGCCTATTGATGACAACGACAAACTACAATGAACGCCCTTTTCGCTGACATGAGGATTGAAGCCCACCCGTTCGGTCAACGTGGGTATTCGTCCCATCCCATTCCTCTCTCCTCCCCTTCCGCTCCTCCTTCTTTCCATCCCGTGCCTCTCTCCCTCTCACGACTGACCAACGGGCCACTCGAACCTACTTCACTTCGTGTAGCCGGCAAGGGTGCGCTATTGGGCAATTAAGGCCTTATGACGCCAGTGCGCATGTCACGCCAAAATCAAGATTCGAGGCGGTCGGCTGGGTGTGCGCCTCCTCCGCCCTATTGGAGCCTGTGCAAGAGCCGAACTGGCTGACATGCCCAACGCCAACCATTCACCCAAGAACCACCGCACTACCACAGATCCTGTGTCCCCCACTATTTGGCATGTGACGCCCTTGTTTCGACGCCGCCATGATTGGGGAAGCGTGAGGCTTGTTTGTCGTAATCGTTCACTCTCCGCCAGCCTGCGGGTTTCCGTGTCCATCGGGTCATATCCGGGGGGGTCGCAGCCCTGACGGGTACCCCTGATCGTGGGGTCGCAGGGCTGAGCTTGTCAAGTTGGGTGAGCTGGCAGATCCATCATCGTCCCAGCCATCTCTCGAATCACCGTAGCTCGGTTCTGGTGCCGTCGCCGGGCGAGAAGAGATAGAGAAAGAATAACACTCTACCATTTTCGACCCGACGCCGAAGGCTGGTTGGCCGGCCTCAATCTCCGCTGGGCGCCGTCCCACGTTGCCAAGACGATGAGCAGCTTGTCCCGATCGAGACCCCGCTGGCGGCCCAACCTTTAACTACCCATCTACTGCTTCTCCCACTCGATCAGTTCAAGTCTAGACCAGTCTGCTGGACCCTTGAACCAGGGTCCCGGCCTCCTTCGGGTGCCCCCCCCCCCCGCGCGCTTCGTGGATTCGATCGATCCAAGGCAGTTATCATCGTCGGACCAGGGTCGTCAGTGTGTCGCGCAACTGCCATGCGCGGTACGTGTCTGCCCTCATGCCCGCTGGGTTCACCCTCCTAGGCGGCTCCCTAACCGCCTCACGAAGCTCTGGTTGGCTGACAGCGGCCTCCTGTACACGGCCTGCCGAGTGGGGAGCATCTCGGCCGCGTCATGATTGTAAGGCTTCCCAGGAACGCCCTCGTATGATGGGAACGTTGAACCGAGCGTATCGTCGCCTCGTATCTTTCGAACTACCCAGGTGTAAATGTGTCCCAATTCGCCCATCCACCAGAGGCCGAGCACGATCGTCAGGATGGTTACGGGTATGGCAGTTGCCCAATACAGCCACTGCCCGTCCTTCATGTCTCGGATGTCGCTAGAGTTCATTCCAAAGATGCTCGAAACGGCGCTCAGAGGCAGGAAGACGATGGTCACAATGGTGAAAGCGTAAATGGCCTGTTCCTGACGGCCCTTCGTCACCGCCGCGTTGTTGAGGTTCTAGTCTCAAGGTTAGCACCCGTACCCCGGCTTCCGAGCTCACGCGGTATCAACTCACAGTCTGTTCCAAAATGTCAGCTTGCTCGCCGTACTCTTGGAAGTCCCTGTTGCGCCGCTCCAACAGCTGTGTGCACTCCGCCGCCAGGAGATCCCTGAAGCCGGCGGCGTCCGTTGATGGAAGCTTGTAAAAGTCAGACACTTCAGCCACGGGCTCCAACGGTGCATTCATGTCGTCATCATCGGCGTATCTCCGAGACCGTAGAAAAGTGGCATCACGGTGATTGGTATGTTCTCTGAACTGCGCTCGATACAGACGGTGCTGCTTCGTTGCTGCGGGCAGAGTTTCTTGGCGAGATGTTAGGATGGAGTTGAATACGTTGCTTTGGGCGTCTATCGTGCGGCTGATCACATTGACTTCTTGCCGCAGGAAGTTGATGCGCTGCTGGTACGAGAGGTCCGACTGCCCGTTGGCAATCTCATTTTCCTACCCATTTTCAGTACAGGATATATTAGTGAGCGGTTTGCATAAACTCACCAAGGCTCTAAGATACTCTGAGTATGTATCTGTAATCCCCGCATACTTCCCGGGCGTATCGGCCAATAGGCTGTAGCTGATCAGTGAGACTACCTCGAGCGGAAGGACCGAAGACCGTTCCAGGAGGTTAAAATTAGACAGTCGTTCCATAATGTGCTTCATGCCACTCTTTACCAACGAGTCGGCCACATCCAGGTGGTCTTCCCACATGTTTGAATCATGACTGGCATAGATCAGGCCCATAACCAGATGAAGCCAGGCACGGATCAGGTCCAGCGGCACATCGATCTCCAGCCGATCCGTTGGCCCGGCATGAGAAAAAATGCTCTTGAACGCAATGACCGGGAGAGCAAGTTGACGCAGCAATTTCCTCACCGTAGGGGCATTTATGTAAACCGCGTCACGCCTCGTCTGGTCCAAGTTGTCCGGATAAGCTTCACCGTCAGCAGCCTCAGGTGGAGATATCTGTAAACCCCGTTAACGATGTCCTAAACCGAGACAAGAGAAGCTGCAAAGACACACCCTGACCAAGTTCATCACTGCACCCCAGAACCTGTCTGTCGTTGGACCGTCGAATAACGGAGGGAGAAAGAACCTGAACAGAGAATCGGCTGCATTGAAAATATCGATGCGGTCCTCGTATTCCTGCTTCTTCCATGTTGTTGGCGTAGAATGCATGTCTGTCGCTAGCTGCTCGAGATATAAATGTACTTCATTCCGCGTGGACGTCTCACCTTCGAGGTAGGATCTCCGGTCCGGTCCGTTTGTTTCGGCTGTCAGAAACTCTTCCACTTCCGAAAGTTGCCTCTGAAGAACGATAAAGTTGGGCCCCTCCATTGGGCTCGGGCGGGTTGCCTCGGCCCAGCTAAAAACATGGAACACATCGCTGGCTTTGCTGGGCCGTCCGGGTGGGAAGCTCATTCGGTTTCCAGATGATGGTTTGAGAGGTTGAACATTGGCACCAGACGACTGCCCGTTAGTGTTACTCAGGCTTTGGGTGATAGGCCTCAGAATACCGCTTGGCGGAAGTTGTGGTGGGGCGCTGGCTTGCATTAGCTATTTGTACTCACGGAAGGATCCAGGCAACTAACCATGTTTCCATACTGATCACGACGTTCCTGTTCGAAGTCCGGGCAAACTGGAGCACCTTCCACCATCGAGCCTCTGTCAACAGACGGCCGTTGAAATGGAAGCGGACGGCCTTGGGCCAGAAATCAGAGAAATGAGCGATGAAGGCGAACCACGTCTGGCATTCTTCCAATGAGAAAGACCATATTACCGACTCGCCGCATTGGACCAGTATGCGGCCGCCCTCTGTGTTTGGCGTAAGCCCTCTCGCCGGTTCAGACGTCACCGCGATAGTGTAGCCACGCAGGGCATCCTCGTACATGGAGCCGCAGGTAATCAGCAGCGAGTTGTCGAGCACGATGCACCACAGCTGTCTGATGTGAAAACACCAGTCACTCTCTCCATTTCCGATTTGCCGTGTTGCCTGGAGCATGTCTCGCTTCTTAGAGTTCCGCGAGAAGGCTGACTGGAGCAGCGTTTGGGGCGGGTAGGCTCCTGGATTACCCGTAGCGTGGACCCCGGAGTACTCTTCCAGGGAGAAGTAAGGGATGCAGAGCCACGTCACCGTTCTCTTCCCATACTGTGAGTTCTTTTCTTGGTCACCCTGCTGGAGAGGAAGCTGGAGGTAGCTGGCCTCCATGTGCTTCACCGTCGTCTCGCTGGATGTACGGACAGTCTTGGAGTAGTTTTTCCTTACGTCGGAGAGTAGCTTACGAATGTCGGTCTGCTCTTTTTCTGACAGTGCTTTTGAAATTTCATTCTGTGTTCCAGTCAGCTTAAATCAGGGCCGGTTTTGGCGTTTGTGTTCTACAAACCGTAAACTCGTCAAAGTTCATCATGTCTTGCTGTACGTGCCTGGGAAAGTGTCAGTAGTGATCTAGCCACCGAGTCCTGTCTTAACTTACAGCCATCTGAAGAGGGACTGCCGTATCTTATTTGCATCGTACACAACGTCCAAGGCCGCAGAGTGCGCGCCGCCGAGAACACCCTCACCCGTGTATCGGGACTGATGAACGTGAAGGGCGTTGTTCGCCGGCGGCGGCTCCTCGCTCCTCATAGTCGAATCATCTGAAAGGGGAGTCTCTAGATCGAAATCGTCATCTGTTCTAGACGAATCTGGCCCCAGGCGTGCCGGATCGAAAGCGTAGACCTTGCCGGTCGTCTCCTCCAAGTCTACCCACTCGTCGCCCTCGTGACCCGGGTCGGGATACACCTGCTCAGGGAATACGGGAGTCATCGGAACTGCTTCGAATGCGAAATCTTGTGCATCCAATTCCTCCTCTTCGTTGCCAACAAGACCTACTGCCGGACCTTCCGGCGTGGGTTGCTGCGCCGGTCTTAGCTCGGCCACGACCGTCGCAGGAAATCCAACGCTCTGCTGTGTCTGCGCTAAGTCTTCGCACACCACAGGAGCAGACAAGGGTGTCTTTGCCCGTCGTCGTGGGGCCATGGGCTCCAGGGGCGAAGAATAACGCACGATGGGCTGGATTGTCTTGGGGCTCCTTCGACGTCCCGGGGCTCTGGGCGGCGGCGTGGGCGGCAGTGGGTCGTAGATGGGATCTGATTTTCGGAACTCCTCGATCAGTTGGACGAGGTGCGCCGTCTGTGTCCCTCTGACATACTGGCTCCTGAGGTTTTGGGCCGATGTTCGTGACGGGAAGAGGGACGGTGCCCGGCGGCGAGAAGGCTCTCTTGAAGGTTCGTATTGCGACATTGCGAGTGGTTCACACACACTGTGATGCTGTGTTTTACCTGCCGCGGTACAGTGTCAAAGTGTCTCGGGTTGGTGTAAGTGTTGTTCTTTCCTCTTCGTCAAGTCTTAGTCAAGCTGAATGGATGGCGCTTTCCAAACAAGAAAATATAGATAGCATCCATGTATTTATTCTGAGGTAAATAAGTCAAGATCGCGATAACGGCGGCTCGTACCAACACTTGCAAGAGTTAAATAATAAAACCTCTTCTGCAGACACCAGGCACCTACCTGGTATTAATTAGTTACCTACTTAACCAAATGTCACCCCGCTGAGGTCAGCCACCGAGAGCTGCACATCGCGGGAGGCAGGGGCCACCGACACCATGGCAACGCCCGCTAGCTGCTAAAGAAGTTCAACCCGCCTATCTGAGCGCTGTGCCTTTTTTACACGTACGCCAGGAACGTTCGGCATTGGTGAGTCCGTGGGCCCCAAGGCCCGCCATTTGCAACGGCCGAACACGGGAGGCCCCAGCGGACGAACCACGCTAAACCGTTAGGCCCAGCCACTGGGTGGGTTGTTTGCGCAATCACCGACTGGCATGTTTCTGTGGGCTTTCGGATTGACTACATCTTCGTCACCTCACTTGTCTCGGCCGTCACCCCAGGTAGCATCACGAAGCACATGACATGTTGACGACTCATCATAATTTTGCCTAGCTTGCGCTCATAGACCTTTACCAGTTGGCGTCCTGGATCTTCCCAAGACGTGAGAGAGGCTATCTGCAAGCTGGCATCTGAGCATCTGGAACAAACCGCGATCTCTTGAACTCCATGTCAGCAGATTAGAGGGTATCGAGAAATGTGGCCATCCCAAAACCGAAAACCGAGAGTGTATCTTCCCTGTGACTCCATGTGTCCACCACTTCCAAGAATAGAAAAATACAGGAAGCCCTGATGCCAAGGGCCTGGATAATACCGTTGTCCATCCTTCCTCCTTTAATGCCAGTCCCACGGGGTCCAGCATATGGGATTCGGTGGTTCGGGTAACCCGTTCCATTCACATGTCCATCGTGAGCCGAAAGTAAAACAAGAAAGAAAAACCAGAGATGCTCGAAGCTCTCGTCCATCTGTGTCTCATGCATCAGTCCCACAGGGCCGACGCATGTAAGCCCTGATGGAGTAGTAACATGAGCCAGTCGTTCATCCACCGATGCCTTTAAGACAAAACGTGGATTGAGTCGAAAGTTAGGTTCCTGCAATAGTCGTCCGTAATAACAAATGAAAGAAAGTAGGACAAGGTGCCCAATAGAGCTGGGGTGTAGCCGAGTCCCCGTCCGTTGGCCGTTCGCAACGTCAAAAGCAAGGTGTTGCCAATAAAAGAGGCTCATCTGGACCCCAAAAGACCAAGAAAGTCTTGAATAGCGTCTGATTTTGCAATCATCCAACAGGTCGATCATCCAAGGTTTGATATCCCGTCGTCGAAATGCAAAGTCAAAGGCGGTAGCCAGAGTCGAATCCAGCCATGGTTAGGCGACGGGTCATCTCGCCGATCGAAGCCTGAGAGTACGGCATGCCGGAGGTTCTGGAAGAGGCAGAGCTAACGGTTCGAGGTCCGAAATGGTCATCATCGGTTTTCTCTTCGACCCACTGCAGATTGTTGTCGAAGCACTTGGGGAAGTCGGGCAAGAGTCCTTCGTGGTAGAAGTCCTCCATCTCCGAGCGCCACGGAAACGGAAGAGCCTCCCAAATCTTCTGTAGGTTGTTGGTGAAACCGTACTGGCGACGGAGGAACGGGAGGACAATGAGGGTGAGCTTCGCCAGAGCGATCTTCATCTCGCGAGTCTCATCCGCAAACTCCTCCTCCACATTCTGCGTGTACAGGTGAATGTGCGCCATGCGCAAGGGAACCTCGAAGCTAGCCAGCTTCTTACAGTTTCCGAACTTGTAGTAAAAGAAGCGGCCATCTAGGGCATCGCGCAGGGAGCTGGCTGCCTCAAGGACATTTCCGATCTGGTACTTCATCAGAGACTTGACGCCGAGAAGCATGGCGGGACGGTAGAACATGACATTGTTCAGGATGTAAGTGCTGCTCCACATGTCCGATGGGTCCGGTCGATGGCCACCAAGCTCTGTTGAGTCGGATTAGAGATTATTCCAGGTCGAATATGGTCCGCAAGAGCACTTACCGCCCATGTACACCCAGAAGATCACGACACTCATCATCGAGACGTCAAAGTCATCAAGCTTGTGGTGAGTGACTCCAACCTTTATCAAAACGTGAGTCAAGTCAACACACACAATGAGTGGGAAACAGGATAGGGCAGTCTTACCTTGTTGGGTGGGGAAAGGTTCTTTGCAAGGTATGTCGACTCAGAAACTAGTATCTCACGATGGGCCGAGAGAACTTTTCCGTCGCGAAGGGTGATGGCGCAATTGTAAGTCTTGGTCGAGTAGAAAAGGCTGTAATATGAACGTTAGCGAAACCATATTCTCTATAGATTGACCGCTCATTCCTGAAAACTTGCCCAATGCGACCGTCTTTCTCAAAGTTGGGCAGGCGTCCGCTCTCGAGAGAGGCCCGGAAGACTCTTCGGTGGTTAGCGTCTCCCTGGGCAGATTCGGCAGCAGCAGCGATGTCGATGTGGGACGAAGCCTCAGACGACGCGTCACCGGCCTCTTCGCCGTTGGAGATAAGTACGGCATTCATGCCAGGCTCCTCACTCTCATCGCGCTTCTCGCCGTGCTCCTCATCTCGTTTCTCATCGTGCTTGTGTCTCGGCAGCGGAGCCGCCGCAGCGACGATTTTGTTGTTCTCAGCCGGAGACGAAGAGACAGAAGCGACAAGCTCAAGGGAGGCCGGGAGTCGAGCCTGTCTTGCCACTTCCTCCGCGGCCATTTTGGCGGCTTTGTGACCTTTTCTATTGCCGACCATATCTTCGTCCACGTCGTCGGCTGTGGCTGCAGTTGCGGAAGATGTGGTAGGCGAGAGACAAGTTGGCGATGTCGAGGGGGGGCTCTCCTTCTTGGAGGGGGAAGGAGATAGATTACTTTCCCCATTGAAGTCACCCCATGAGCCGTGGACAGATCCAGTGCAAGGGCTCTTAGCCCTCGGCGTGGTGGTGGTGACAGAATACTTCTGCTCCTCTCTGTGCCCGTCCTTGTCCTCACTCTCAACGAGGGAAGGGAAGTCAGCAGCGGTTAGGACGGGAAGCGGAAGCGCTGGTCTTGGTATCTCGTCCCGGAATGAGCCATCACCCGAGTTGTGACGGCCTAGAGAGCTAGGCTTGTGGTGCTTTGCAGCAATCTGAGCCCACGACAGAGAAGCCATGGTGAGTGTTGGTGGTCAGATGCGCAGATGAAAGGGATCTGAAATATTGTTAACAGGCGTAATGGTAGCGAAAGAATAAAACACATACTTAGTAATGTTCAAAGCAAAAAAGCAGGATAAAAGGCAAAGCGTGGTAATGCAAGATGTGAATGAGGGAAGGGTTTTTGTGAGTAAAGGGGATGGTAAAGGAAGATTTTGTGCAGTTGAAGGTACGAGGAAAGCAATATCAAAAAGTCTGCTGCTCCAAATGTGAAGTCAGCAAATTTTTAGCATGACTGTTCGGCAATTGTTTTTGAGTGCCTGATGTGTATTCATGTAAACAAGTAGCCATCCATGTCTTGTATTGTGTATACTTCACCTCATCTCACTGAGCTACCATTGAGGCACTTGTATGGATAGGGAAAGTGAAGAGTACCTTACTGGTGAGATTAAAGAGGAAAGAGCCGTTTTCAAAGCTATCAACCTTAGGTCAGATGAGATGAAGACCCTTCATCATAGAAAGTTCAAGGCTTAGAGTAATTCCCCAGTAGTAAACCATGCTCACGTTCCTCGTCAGGCTCTTTCGAGGCTCCTGGATGGACGACGAAATAGATGTCAATTCCCAAGCTGCAAACTCGGAAGGAGACGCAATTTTCTTTGCTGGCCGGCCTCTCTTGCCCCATCGGAAGCCTTCCGGCCAGCTAGAGTAACCTACCTAGTTAATACATACGAAGCGAGCCTTTGGTGACTGTCTTTCTTTTCTTAAAGACTGGAACATCTTGGGTGGTTTGATTGTCTATCCCTACCTAGCAGACTACTTGGAAGTCTTTGTTAAGTTGGTTATTTAACCTGCTATGACGTAGATATAAGGTTAAAGGAAAGACTAACATAGTATAACTACTTTTATCTTCTTAGAATCCTTTACTGCAATATTATCTTTTATTTGTGTTGTGCTTATTAAAGCTAAGGTGCGCTCCTGCTATAAGGGCGTTTTGGATGACTTGGTTGAGTATGTTACCTTGTCGAGATAACGTTACGTGACAATCTGTTTTGTTTGTAAAGGGCAGTGATGGCTCTAAATCCTACCACAGCATCTGATGGCCTTATTAGCCTTGAAAACTGGCTGAGAAATGGTGACAGTCATCCTTGAAATCTTGAATTTAACAAAGAGCTTTGTGAGGGTTCCACGCCCCTGAATTGTATCGTCCTTCTGGGGCCCATCTTAGCTGTTAATTATCTGGGAACAGCTCCATTGTATAGCAGTAGATATCTTGTTCTTTTTGAATTTTGTAGCTAATTCCTGACTTGGGGCTCTAACAATCCTGAAGATGGGTTCTATGTAAGCTTATCACGCCTTTTGGCATTCTTCCTATTTAAAGCCCCGCGAAACCGTTAGGTTTTCTAAGCGGGAAACTACTATTGTAGAGACTTTGTTATAAGTTAAAGCATATGGCAGGGCATATAAGAATAGGATTAAGAAAGGCTTATTACTATGAAAGTAAAGATATAAAGGAAGAATCCTATCTATAGGCAAGTGATACGAGTGATGTGTTAAACAGCACGTGATATGGCACATGATCATCTATCTGGCAAGTGCTGTATGAAGCTATGAAGCTATTGTGACAGACTTTCACGGCCTCTATGATCTTCTGGATCAGCCTTCTTAGTGTTGTTCAACTCCCATGATTGACAGGCCACCACTACAGTGTGTTCCAAACGCTTTAAAAAATATCTACGGCCTGAACAAGCAGCGCTATAGTGGAGAGCTAGGTTACGAACCTGTCGAGTTAATCCCTGTCTCTTATTATTGGTCCCCACCGGCCTATTGTTAAAGGTTGCTGATGTTAACCTCAACGAGATCGCCCTCGATCGCATTGACTGGTGCTAGAGGGGACAGCCCGAGGATGGGATACATGTTTGGACCTAGAAGCTACCTGAGAACGAGATGCTTCAGTTCATTAAATAGGGCGATAACGGGCCATGCAAAGGAACAATGAAACATGCCTATGGTGATCATGTTCTGGCGGCCGCTATGTCTGTCGGCTCAAACAAGTATAAGGCACGTTCGGCCGAACTCGAGCAATCCATCGGAACTCGACAAGATCTCGGCCCAAAAGGTCATCCGACAGCGCGTGGAGTCCCCTGAAATCAGCCTTCTTGAAGAAGAAGAAGAAGCAAGCAAGCATTGATATGAGTGTGTTTCCTCCACGGGGGGTTTTATCCAGCAACGGTTGTGTCACCTTTATTACAGCTCGTATTGTTCAAGAGTCTCGGCTCCGTTTGTCAGTGGATTCATCAACGGCCACCGGTCTGGCATCCTCGGTGGGTGTGTGGACGCGCGGACACTTGCATGTCATGTTTCATCGAGCATAGCGTGACCGGTTAGTAGCGTGCGTAAAGATTGAAAAAGATGCATCCGTAGATGAAGTGAGATAGGTACGGAGTACGGGAAGCAGATAAGCGACGACTGGAGTCAGGTTGTCGGTTTCTTTTGATCAACCACCCCGGACGCTTGTCAGAGGGCATGTCTCTCAAAGCGGCTAGGAGCCACTTGGGCTGCTAGGATCCAATGCACGCACATGCCTGGTGGTTCGGCGTTTGCCTCCTACTTGGCTCTTAAGGGCTCCTCGGACATATATAGGTGGGTTGTCTGCCGGACTCTCACACCGCGTGCTTCCTTCTTGGGCGTGGCTTCCCAACGGAGAGGTCCCTTTTGAATACCCGCCTTGATACGATTGCCTCATTCATCTACCTACCTACCTAACTACCTATGTACCTATGTACGTACCCATGTACCTTGAGTAACAGAATCAGTCCTCGTCTGCTTCAGTTGATGGGGAGAAAACCGCCCGAACCAAAGGTCTGTGCGTTGCCATGGATCGCTCCCGGCCATCCACTGACTCCACCACCTCGCGTGTACCCTTGGCTGACGGCCCTTGCTCCCGCTGCACCTGACAGGGGCTCTCCTAGAGCCTGTTTGCTCGCCAAGCTTAGGGAAGGTAGGTATCTAACTACCTCAGGTACCTACAGTAGCTGTATATTCGGAAATATTGACTATGCACTGTCGGAAGGAAGACATGTACGGATAAAACCTTGGGTACCTGCGGGGTACTTGCCGCTTGGGGGGGTCGGTCAGAACAACGAGGAAGGGGCGACCGAAACACCGTTCCTTCCTCCAACCTACCGAACCAATTGACAGCACCACAGACAGCGCTCTCTGCCCGTCCGTTCGTCTCCGTCCATCTGCCTTCCTTGCCTCCCAACCCTGAGGTGGTGGCGCTGGCTCTGTGACATCTCTCCTACCTTCACCTCCCAATTTTGACTTCACCTCTCGCCTTCTGCCTTTGTCAGCCCAGACGGTGGAACGTCCAATTCCCGTCGCGCGACTACAGGTGGGCAGGCAGACGGTTCCATCACCCACGCCCGATCGCTTTTTTGGACCATCTCGTACTTCTTGCCTAGGTACCTGGCCGCACACGTCGGTCCTGTATCTCTCGTTGACTGCCCATCTCATCGTGTCGCGGGCTATAGCCTGTCTTTGCTTGGCCTTGGCACCTCAGCAGCATCTTCATCACCAAAGCGCCTTCGGCATCGCCCACGCAGTCAAATGCCCGTGGCATAACATCTCATACTATTACGTTCCATTTCCATCTCACCGCCCCGGTACATATCTCATTCGCTCCCAATCTTCTCAATGTCCTGTTTGCTCATCCTCATACAGGCCACCCCATGGATGCCATCATGGCGGACAGCTCACCCGCCGATCCGCTGGCCGCGGCCACTAGTGCCCTGATGAACTCGATACAGGGTTACGTCCGCGCCGCCATCGCCGCCGAGGTGGCCAACGCCCCGCCTCAGTCCACGTCGGCTCTCCAGACCCGTCTGGACTCCGTTATCCAGGAGAATAGCGAGCTAAAAGAAAAGCTTAAGCAGATCGAGAGTAAGACCGCCTCATGCCGTTACCAGTGCATGCGTCCTTGCCATTTTCCAAGAAACCATCACCCAAGTACTGACATCACCCAAGCAGATGAGCGAGACACCATCAAAGCCGCCTTCTCGTCCTACATTGGCGTCGCTCTCCCAGAGTCCAAGCTGTCTCGCCACCTGCGTCCCAAGACCCCCAAGTTCTCCCAGTTCAGGAACTTCCCAGTCGAGATCCGCATGAAGATCTGGAAGCTCGCTCTTCCTACTGGTCGCGTCTTCGACCTGTCTATGGGCGATGGCCACCTCTCTCGTGTTCTGCGCGCTACCGCCCCGAACCCCAACGGCGGCCCTAACGCGGCCGTCGCGATTCGGCAGGCCTCAGGCCTTGCCGAGATGAGCGTCACCGCTCACAAGACGCCCAAGCTACGCCTCGCCTGCAAGGAGGCCAATCGCGCCTTCCTCGAGGCCGGCGGCTTCGAATTCGGCCTCTTCGGCGGTGCATACAAGGGCCTCTGGTTCAACTATACAGAGGACATCCTCTTTGTCCGCGAGGAGCCCCGTGCATGGACCAACCTCGACATGTCGCGCATCGTCCGTGTCGCGTTCCCCCACACGAGATTCATGAGCAAGGGCGACATCACCTCCAAGATGGACCTAATCCTTGACCACTTTACCTCCTGCAAGGAGATCATTCTTATGCAAACCATGGAGTGGGATATCCGCTCGTGTCTGACGAGCCCCCGCCTTCCGGCCAAGCTTTTCCCCCTGGGAACAGATGACCCCATTGGCGCGCACGACTACCCTAAGGAGCTGTCGAACGAGATAGGAAACGTCGCAGCCTGGGGTGACGTGAAGCGCGTTGTTGAGCAGATTAGCAGGGAGCATGTCACCGAGGTGAAGCGCCTGACACCCGGTCGCGTTCCCAAATTCACCGGCATGGAAATGGTACGAGCTCGCCCGAGCTACTTTGACTAGGCTGTCAACATGCTCCGGCATCGACAAGATTCCAGATATTCTTAGGCTTTTAGCGTGTATCATATCTAGGCAGACACTGGGAGTAGGGGCGTTGGGTTCTGTTTCTCCCCGCAAGCTAGCATAGTAACATGTCGCCGACTAAGTATAGGATCGGCTCTCTTGCTTTTCTTCTCCTTATCTCGACCCCTAACCTGTCTATCGTGCCAGGTGTCTTGTATCTCCAGGGCCAGCTACTTGTCCTCGTTTGGTTCTCTGCGCTCTCCCTCTCTCCACGTTCACCAACAAACATTGTCATGACCAGGTATTGAGTATTCGTGAAACTCTCCGTTCCAGGGCTTCTGCTTCATTCTCTAATAACTCATCAAGTAAACTATGGCTATCTCGAATTCTTAGTGCCAAGATCCGTATGCGAATCCTTATGAGCTGCCTTGTATGGTAATAAAAGCTTTATAAGGCAGTTGAGTCTCAGGATTAAGCAAGGCCAAATAAAAGAGTAAAAGGTAAGGAGCATGTGAGTTCTGGTTAGCCAATTCCAAAAGGTGTCAAAGTCGAATACCGTAAGGGGGTCATACTGGTGAATGCTTCACCTACTCCAATATGTGACCGCAAACAAATTGAACAGACTCTTGTGGCTCTCAGAAACCATGGTCACATTTCATCGATAGGCTGTTTTCGTTAATTTCGGGCTTATATTGTCTTCTGTCAAGGTTCTCCAGCCTATTGGCATTTCAAGACTGTAAAAGATCAGAAGTTGTTGCTAAGAAATCACCCACAAGAGGTGAGACCTACAACAAACACGCGGTTGCTAATTCTCAATCAATCATGTTACTGAGTACCCACGACGTATCTCACGATGCTGAATGAATTCCTTGAAGGAATATATGTTCGAGCTGCTAGTTGTTCCAGTGGCCGAGAATTTTGCCAGCGGTGGCATCTTATTCTAGGTCGCTTCCTGGAACAGTTCTTTATGATATTCTGCCACTTTTAGTAAGCCTAGTTACCTAGGAAAAGCATAGCAAAAGCATCCTGGTCACAAGAGCCACTAGAATATCCCAGACGCGTTGTAGCCCATTGATCTAAGCCGGTCCGTATTCATGTTCTTTTTTCCTCACCATCCTCTGACTTCTAAGCGATCAGGATTTGCGAGCCTTTCAGAATACTTCAACCGCCTCAAACTCTATGGACTTGCCTAAGTTCTCACTCTCCCAGCAGTCGTTGATAAAGGCCTTATTCTCTCTCCAAGTCTACTCAAGGCCCTCTTCCCAATCCTCGGGGTCAACGTCTTCTACAGTAACAGCTTCGTCTTCACTGCAAATCGATCGGAAGACAGGAAATGTCTCGGTCAGTTGCCCTTCGGTAGGGGTACCCAAGGGGTAGTAGGCGAAGATAACACGATTACAGTCCAGATTGCCGAGAACACGCTCGCAGTGCTCTCTGTTCAACTCTATCTCTTTGCTGATGCAAACTCTTTTGACGTCGAAGAGACCAAGGCTGTTCCATTGATCAAAGGTGTGGAGGTAAACCACATCTGTCACAGGACATATTAGGCGTTAATTGCTGCTTGCGATTAACGGCGTCGTTTTTGCGACAACATCCTACTCGTCGTTGTACCAGATGCTACGCATCGGTCCAGGTCTCGGGTTGCTATAGTAACCGAAATGCAATGAGCCGTTTGCTATGCAGACCTTATAGGCCTCTTTAGAGGCTTCTATCATGACGAGGAAGGGGGGCAGTGTTGGTAGGACTGGGCTGGTCGGGGGTCGTACATGATCCAGTCATTGTATGGCTTCGGTTCGTAGATTCGTCCAGAGGGCAGAGACAGACCTCTTTCAAATAATATGACGGACTTCGGGTGAAAGTTGACAAGATATAGGGAAAGAGGTGGCCGGAATTTCGAGATCTGCGATGAAATTCATTGATAACCATCCAAACCCTCACGACACAAAATGGAGGGGTTTGATCTCATTCTCACTGATCTTGGCGGGATCAACGGGCGTTGGGATGCCGCGTAAGGCATTCCAGAAATTTTCCATTGCATTTACATGTTTTTGAGCTGTCTGGCGATCTGTTCCATCCGGTACGGCACCTGAAGTCGTCATGAGGCTTTGGCGCGGGGGTATCGATGGCTTGTGCGGTTGGCGTAGGCGAACTCGAACAGGTGGTTGTTTTCTGTTAAGGTTCAACAAGAATGTCAAATCTTTTCAGCTTCATTTACTTCTTTTTTGTTTCGAGAAGACTATGGCGGACCGCTTATCTGGTTGCTCCTCATTCCAGATGAGAAGCCTCAATAGTGCGGCTGTTGGGGCGAGATGAGATGGACGGAAAGAAAGCGTGACCGGATAGGTGGATGAAAGTATGAACCAATCTCCTTGTCCAAAGTTTGAAGCTGATTGATGTGAGTTCATCTGCTTTGGGTAAGTTAAAGGGTCTCATGGACTGGATGTGAAGTGGTTGTATGAAGGGGCACAAAGTCCTGCCATCTCAAAGAGGTCTCTCACTTCTTAGCTTTCCTGTCATAGTTTGAACTTATGTGTGTATTCATTTTTATCTTTTTAACTCACCGCAAGGCTAGCTCCATCAGGGTCTTCAGTTGATTCAATGTTGAAGTGCTATTGCTTTGAAACGGGCGAATGGCTAACTCTTGCACCTACCTAGGCCCCTGCTCAGATAAAAATGCATAGAGATGCTGGCAGCTTGATTCGATATATGCTCAGTGATATTTTTACTCTGTGCTTTGGATGAACTGGCTTATATCTAGCTCTATATACCTGAAAATTCCATGTAACAAATGTGACTTACACGTTTCTGCCTAATCATTTCGCCCTGAGACTCCTTTTAAGTTGAAAAGGCGATTGCGCGGCTTAGAGCTGGGGTTACAAAGGGGACACCTTTCAACATTCCATAAGGTTATACAGCGGCTAGTTCAGAGCTAAAGGCTGAAGGCCCTTTGATACTGGAACTATGATTCCCATTCAAGCTCCAAATAGAAGAAGAGCAAAAATCAGATTCCTCTATCTCACGTGGACCAGTGACGAGCTTACATCTGTGGGTACTTCAGCTTCTGATACGGGATCAGAGAAGATCTGATCCTTACTGATCTGAACACGGCTGCAAATTCTTCCAAATATACTGCCTTCTTCAAAACAGCAATATGGCTGTGGTCAGCAACACAAGCAGCTTAACACTGCTTTGGCCTAGGCTATTATCGAACACAGCCAACACAAGTTGGAATTATCATTTCACGCTAAGTGACGCAGCTTCAGAATTCCTGATATGCGGTCAGCATGGAGGAGAACGGAAAATAGTTCAGCATTCAGAAAGGGAGTCGCAATTCTCACAAGCTAAGTCTTGAAGGCTACTCAATCAATAAAGAGCATCTATGTGATTTGGCAGACAAAGGTGACTGAGACTACTTCTAGATATTTAATCATCACCTTGTCTTGTCTTATCATCCCTGTACAATTCTCAATGCTAGAGGAGAAGATACAAGTGGGCAAAAACAAGCCTTGGATGATATACCTAGAGTAATCCAACCGTTTAGTAGCATACATCGTTTTCAGATATGTTTGCAGATAACACGATCCCGTCGTTGCAGCTACAAATTTACTACTGGTTGGTGTGATGACAACCTGTAATGGCTGTGCCTGATTATTGCCACACTGAGTGACTCGTAGTAACGATGATGCAGAACCGAGAGATAGCGCTTGCGTATCTCGACCTTTGAATGTCACTCGAGCCAGGGTATTGTTTATGTACGACTTTGAAGAGACAAAACGGATACTTTTAAAACAAAGAATTGAGGAGAAGAGACCAACCACTATGGTTGGTTGACATGGCAAACTACTTTACTTGACCTGTTTGGCCCGAACGACAGCAAAGTGAATCTTAAGACTGGGTCTGATGGGCTTGTCTTCATCCAGGGTGTTATGTACGACCCTGGCTGCGGCTAGGGCGCTTGTTTGGTCTTTTCCAATCAATTGTTTGCGTTGGCCTGCGACTGCAATACGCTCTGCATCTGAGCATGCCCTCAAAGTCACTGCCCGCATTGATCCGAGCACGCCACCTTGGCAGGTCATTTATATACCCAGCTCTGGCAACTGAGAACATTTTCTTGTCATATTGCCTTCAAATTCCCTTACTGTCTGTCTTTGCTCTTTTCAGTCATCTAACCAGGAACATAATGTTGATCTTTACCCTGAATCATTCCACTACGGCTGTTGCTCTGATAGCAGGCCTTGCGGCCGGAGAACCTGCCTTCTACGTCTCAGCATCGGCCCGGAAAGTTTCAGACGCTCCCTCTCCCACATCCGAAGCTTCTGGCATACCATCTCGCACCAGAGCGCCAGGCATCACCCCCCTAGAGGCGCAGGCCAGAATCTGCAATCTGGAGGCAGATTACAGCCCCCACGACCCCATCGACTCTGAGAAGCAAGAGAAGGGCGTTTCCACCTTTTGTGATCTTCTAAGAGGAAAAGGCGGCTATCTCGAACCTGGGATGGAGTCTCAACGTGTGGAGTTTCAAGACGCAAATGGGGGACGCCACCACTACAAGGTTGAGTGGGCAGCGGGATGCCAGACGGAAGTTGAGAATCAGGCGATCCGGCGGCCCCTGGGGCATGTTAGTGCGTCACTCAACTGCCATGACTTGATGCGGGATAACTACTTGTTGTGTGAGTATAGACTTATTCTTCCCGCTTTCTGATGCTCTTAGCAGAGATGTATCGTCTAATGCTTGGAGAGTATAGGCCACAATGGCGGTGTTGGTGGCAAGGTACAGGTCGGTTGTCTCATTTACACCTACAACGGAGGTATTATGACAGGCAGAGTGTACGACTGGTGAGCCAAGAGGATTCAAGGTACTTTCACAATGAATCTTGCCACCTATTAATCTGCTCAAAGTTCCCTTCTGTTGGAGTTTAGAAAGCATGCAGTGGCATGTTCTTTGATTTTTTAAAAGTATGGCATCTTTATACCCTGGGTTAGTTGACTTTGATCAATCTCTGTACTGTTGTTGTCAAAGCTTTGATAGAAGCACCTCATTTTATCCTCTGTAAGGGCTCTGTATCGTCTTGGCGCATTCCTGGTTTCCTTTCTGCACAGAGGACCGCTACTTTGGAAAGTAATAGATTCAAAGCCATCGCGTGTTCAATTAAGGGGGGCTACGTGGCCAGGTCAATGCAGGTATGGAGTACCTAATGGAATAATCACCATACCAATTGAATAGGTATCACGTTGAAAGCAGATTGTTTGCCTTGGTGGAACGTACAACAGTGACAAATAGAACTAGTCCCAGATAGGCATGGTGCGGGGTATCTAGGTAAGCTCCTGTCAGAGATCACCCAGCCCGTGCCTGCCTGCCTGCTTGCCTGCCTGCCTGCCTGCCTAGTGTGTGTCGTCGCGGGGCAGCTTTCTCCTGGATTCCATCATCGCAATTGTACTCTTCCCTCATTCTTTCTGTTCCACACACACACCACACCGACTAGGCCCTGCGATCCTCGGAACCGCAAAGATGTCTACGGTTCACATCAAGTCGCCGACGGAGTTCCAGACGCTCTTGTCGAGCTCCCGCATAGTCGTTGCGGACTGTAAGTACCACCTTGGTCAACTGAAACCTCTACATCCCTGCCCTTCCTTGCCCAGATGGCACCAACGATGCCACTGGGTATTCTTTCTGGTCGCAATTTCGCCGTCGCTCGACTCCTCATCTGTGACTACCTTGGCGCATCATTGGGACCCCATTCTGCCAGTTATTTCACCACTCAATGATCGGCCTGGCTTGCTGACAAATGTGTTTCCAGTCTATGCAGACTGGTGCGGTCCCTGCAAGGCCATTGCGCCCCTCTACGAACAGCTCTCGTCGTCGCTGTCCCGCAAGAATGTCGTAACTTTCGTCAAGATCGATGTCGAGGCCCAGAAAGAGATCGCCTCCGCCTACAACATTACCTCTCTCCCCACTTTCATGATCTTCCGCGAGGGCAAGACCCTTGAAAAGGTTCAAGGTGCCGACCCCCGCAAGCTCCAGGAGGTAGTTAAGAAGTTGGCCAAGGAGGTTTCTGAGGGCGGCTCCGGATCTGGCGAGGCTTCCGGCAGCTCGGGCGGTGGATCATGGAGAGGCGTAGAGCTGCCTCGCGGCTACAGCGACATTACCGATCAAGTCGAGGCTAGAGGCTGTGAGCTGCTCAATGCCGATGAGGACTTCGGCCCAGTTCGCGTCCTCTTCGACATGTCGAAGCCCAGTGCGCTGGCCAAGAAGGAGGGTGTGAAGGATTGGGTTGAGAGTGGCGCCGACGACCAGCTCCTCCTGTTCATGCCCTTCCAGGCCATGCTGAAGCTGCACACACTTCAGGTATGATATACATCCATACACCCGCCTCATGTGAATTACAAAATTGCTGACAGAGACGGTACACAGCTCACCTCTCTTCCTCCTGCCGACGACGACGAGGCCCCGATGCGCCCTGGTACCATCCACCTCTACACGAACAAGCCGCACAACCTCGATTTTAGCGAAGCTGACGATACCCCTCCCACGCAAGCCATCGAGCTTACCGAGAAGGACTGGAACGCCGACGGCACCGCCAACATTGGTCTGCGTTTCGTCAAGTTTCAGAACATCACCAGCCTGATCATCTACGTCACCAAGGGCGACGGCGAAGGCGAGAAGGTCCGCCTCGACCGCGTGCGCCTCATTGGCGAGTCGGGAGAGAAGAGAGAGATGGGCAAGCTGGAGAAGATTGGCGATGAGGCCGGCGAGTAGAAGTCGGCGGTACTCTACAAGATCTGATCGGCCGGCGATGAAAAAACATTGCTCGCACGACCCAATGCGACGAGAATCATGAATAGAGCGATAGTCATAGATGTTGCCGGCCGTTACTAGGCTCAGTAAAACCCAACAAACAAAACCTCAGCAGTAATGGTGTCTCAGTTATTTCCGTGGCACGAGATCAAACCATGCCGGACGTCAACGTGACTTCCGCACATTGCGGACGTCAATAACTCGGGGTTGACGCTGATAATTGATGGGCCATTTTGACCTAGATCTGAGGATGTACGGCTCATCATCACGAAGGTCATATTCATACGCCGCCATCGCGTTGCACGTTCCATCCACCCATCATCCATTTAAAGGATTCATAAGTTCTGAGTATGTCCGGCCTGACGAACGCGATCCAACCCGTTGGGGCAGAAAGGATCAATGAAGGACAAGGCCGGCTGCAATTAAATTCGATCTGGGGCACGACTGACGCCATGAATTCACTGACTTAGGAATTCCAGCAACAGGGGAAACTGTAAAGAGTCGTGCCAGCCGCACGAAGAAAAAAAAAAGAGGAAAAAAGAAGTCTCTGCAAGAACCGCGACCGAAAATTTCATTTTTATATCACGGTACAGAGCGGCTCAGCGCACGGGTGCACAGAGTGGATTCCCCAAGAGCCCTAGAACAAACGGACGAATATTATGCCGAGCGACTTTTGGACAGTCGCGGCAGGTTCCGCGGTCGTCGTCGCTGCGTCGGCCATGTTGCCGGGCCTGGTCTGTGCATATGAAGCCCCTGGTGGCTGACGCCCGGTCCCCATAATTCTGCACTCAGTGTGCGACGCAGGGGACGTCGGACTGGAGCCCACTAGACGACAGGATCCCGGTCACAACCCAAAGTCCAGTAAGAGGCTTGCGAGCAACAAATGAAGACACCCCCTTCTGTGAGTCGAGATTCCCCTCACCGCTTACTCAGTGTGGGCATCGAGCACATGTTGTACTACGTACGGAGTATCCGTACACCTTATTACATAGCCCTGGGTAATCCGTATGCAACAACAATGCAACATGGGGGGAGACATACATCGATATATCGACAAGGGCAGAATAAACTAGATACTACCGGTGTATCCGTAATGCCGGTTACCAAAAAGCCACCAAAGGGGTCTTGTTCAATGGGTCCGCGCATGAGGTAGGACACAGACAACACGGGCGGGAGATTAGAACTAGACGGGCACGCAACGCTGTCAAGTGCTCAGTGAAGCCTCCCCTCCCGTATTGAGTGTTTTAACCTACCTACTACCGGTATGTACCTAGGCTGGCGACAAGGAAGTCTGAAGGAAACGCCAAGAGGCAGCGCAATATGCTTAAACCAAGCTGTATGGTCCGCATTTGTGCCGTCCGCGATCCCAGATGCCTCAAACAAACGACTTTAAACCCTGTACTCACGAAAGCCCGAGCTCCTACGGTGCCCCTGTTGCGAACCCCTTCTCCCACTCTTCTCCCCTCCCTCGTCCGTTGTCTGTTTTCCTCGGCGAGCTCCCCTTTCCACTGCCCACTTTCCCGATGCTACCATCTCCCCGACTTGCCCCCCCCCCCCCTCTCCAAGCCAGCGCCTGGGCGCCTTAGCCGCGCCCCCTCTGCAGTCCAGTCGCCCATGACATGCAGCAAGCTCGGCAGTCCAGCACCGTGCTATGCCGTTGGATGCTTCGAATGACGGCACCTCCGTGGGGGGTTCCATTCAGCTGCTGGCCGGACTACCCGTCAGCGATTACCAGCTTATTAGGTCATGAACTGTCACCACCTCAGCAGATACTTTGAGTCTAGCATGCCGCCACGCCTACACTACTATGTGCTGCGTACACGATGTCGCCCGTGGCCTGTACAATAATACCACCTACTAGTGGGGCGGTCCATCACTTGCCCCTCCAGCCTGGGTATATCTCGCCAGATACTGGGAAGGGGATCCCGTTTCTTAGGACCGCAGGCATGCGTTCTTAAGAGGCCGGACGTGTATCTCCCGCTTTGACGCCGGCGCGTCATTACAAAGTAATTGCGGGCTGGACTACCAGATTTGGCAATCATGGCGCCCGATAGTCCAATATTGCGGAGTGCCAGCCGCGAGCATCCCACGTTGCTTTTTATTTTGACCACTGACGACACCACAGGGACGCCTATATGGCAATTGCCTTTGCCTTATTCCACCACCCAAGGCGGCCTAGGGACTGACTGACACCCATTAGATGATCGGGCTAAACCCCGGTTTCACCGGAGTGATGAGAGGGAGGCTCCAAGCAGCAGGAGCAGCGGCGGCGGCGGCAGCAGCTCACAAAAACAGCTTCATCCCTCTCTCCGTTCGAAGCAGGAGTCAGACGACATCCTTCCTGCGTTTCACTTTGTTCCTTGAACTTGCCGAACAAGCCCCCGCCATCGCCGATAGGGTTAGAAAGGTTGCCCGCTTCCCTCCGAGGAGGCCATCCGATTGGCGACCATCCCATCTACACTCATCAACCTGCGAACCCGTTTGGTTTCGTGGATAAAACTCGCATGCCGTCTCATTCCACGAAACAACACTCGTATTTCTCTATGCGCCATATCTCGGGCCGCTAGTCGAAACTCTAAGCCAAGTGGATATCACAATCCTGTATTTCAACGCCAAACTCACCGTCGGGGATCTGTTCGTTTGGTTTCTTGCTGTTTGGCCGTTGTGCGGCTGCTGCCCGAGTGGTCGGACCCGTCGATCACTGGATCCCCCCCCCCCCCCCTCCTTCTCCAACCACGGAGGCCATCCAGCCTTAAAGAAGATCGCCAGTCGGGATTTCCCACCGCAATCTTGTCTCTGAAGATCTCGCATGCGATGCAACCCAGATTTAAGCTCCTGCCGTAACGTCACACAGCGAGCACAATGCCTTCGACCTTGTTTGCGCCTTTGGCAGAGGAGTTTTCGAAACCCGCCGTCACCACAGGCGAAGCATTCCCCGTCATGAAGCTGCCGGTTGAGATACGGTTGATGATATGGGAGTATGCCCTGCCGAATTCGCGCGTGTACGAAGTAATGGACTCGCCGAATGCAAGTCAGAAGACGCCTGCGGCAGCCGGACTCACGTTCGCCAACGTCCGACACGAGCCTCCGCCAGCCCTGGGCGCGGTGTGCCATGAGACGAGGGTGTTTGTGCTACAGCGCTACAGACCTCTCACCCTGTCGACCACCACCAAATACCTCGACCTGTCGCGCGACATCCTGCTGCTCGAGCCGTACTTGCTGGTGAAGCGTCTGCTTCGGGCACTGCAATTCTTCGGCCAGATCCCTCTTGTCCGGGATAACCTCAGCCGACTTGCTTTCGGCACGTCGTACGGGCTGTACACCGGCATCTGCCACCCCGTCCTGAGTTGGAAAGTCTCCAAATCAAACATATCGACCTTGATGGCCCGCCTATCCAAGTTCCCACGACTGAGAAAGCTCCTCTTCGTCGTCCATCAGGAATTTCAGTTCGACTTTGACGTCCGACCACCACAACCCATGCATCAGATGAGCCAACCAGAGGCATCGCGGCCACAGTTGGTGCACCAGGGATATCGCTTCAAGTTCGACATCGAGTCTCATCTCAACTACACTCAGCCTCGACACCCGCATACCAACGAGTTCATGTACTATCCGCTGCACGTCGACGAGGACAAGGACGAGTGCTTCGACAAGGATGAACTGGAGAGCGAGGACGAGACTTGGCCGACCAACGACGCTTGGAGACGCTTCAGGAGGAGATTCCAAAGATGCATTCATCTTGTCATGAAGGATTCGCCGGACGCTCCGCGACCAAAGGTCATGCCTACGTTGGAGGGGGCAAGTCTGCTCTGGCGGTATGGCAAGGCGCAGCGGCATTGATAGTTCTAATGCTTTAGCGGGGCTTACGGAGTTTACAGTTTCTTGTGCATTACAATATACCCTCTCGGTCTGTTAGTTTGGTATTTATTCTTAGGCAACACAGCACTCTCGTGCCCTTACCTTCGTCATTTGTTCATCTACAAGAAGGCACAGCTTAGATGGTACCGCAGAGTGATGACGACTTGGGCCGTAAAACAGCATATGGACCTTGTGTGCGAGACGTCTGAACTAATCAAGTTGTATGAAAGGACTTTTATCTATTGATATACACTCATCCTTGCAGCAGGCGACCCTGCGAGAACCTCACAAATCACTCTGCTCACTATATTCACTCATCTTCCTTGCATCGATTTCAGCACAGCCTCATATCTAGCCAACTCAAGATTTGCCATCACCAACAAGACCCAGACCCCAACGAGTCCAGCAACAGCCCACACCGCCAACTGGTCCATTCTTTCTGCTCTTCCCTCTGCCGCCTCCAGCCGAGGGTCGATTCTCGCATCAAGACGCCCCTTGTACAGCTTGCCCGTGCCGCCACCAGGAAGCCCAGGGAACGGCGAGGGGAGGACGCGTGAGAGACGGAGCCCGAGCAATTGTTTGGTATTGAGGGATTCTCGGTCCTTCGGGGTTTCCATGCTCAAAAGGGGACTTTTGAGGCTGTCGGCGAGGGAGCAAAGCTTCCTGGCCGAGTTGCTATTGGCATTATAGAGGGGCAGAAGAGAGTGATCGGCAGCTGTAGGCTTCGTTTGGGTGAAGTTGAAGCATGGGCTACGCGGGTCCAAGAACTCCTTCGAATTGGTTTCCTCTAACAGGGACAGCCTCTTGGAGTCGTCGGGTGAAGAGGTGGTGTAAGACACGTCCGTCTGGGTGCTGCTTTGAGAGGCACGACGACGATTCGTGTTCCGGGGGGCGTAATCGGGGTCCCAGGTAATGGATCTCTTCAAAGGAGACTCTAAATCGTGTTCCTGTGTGGATGGGGGGGTCCAATCGGCGACCCGGTGGCGCCAAGACGGTTCAACCTCAGCACTGTCCGCGAGGGTCTTGACCTGTTGGACCTTGCGCTTAGAGGGACTGCAGCTCTCGTCGGTGCTGTCATCGCCCGATCCATCGTTGGCTTCGCCGGCAGAAGGCCTCGGGTAAGGGCTGCGGTTGCGCCAGTAGCGGGTCTGTTTCTCTGGGGCAATCGTCATCCTGTATCTGGTTCTAAGCCTTCTTGATGTCTGCTCTCTTGCTGATCAACCTGAGGTGCCAATGAGAAGTTGAGGGATTGGTGCCGAAGGGCTTCGATTCCTGAGTTGGGCTCAACTCAATACTCTTCGCCGGGAGTAGAACTCGATGCTGCCATTTCATCATAGACTGGCCAGGGTATTCGGAGATAGAGTCTTTTTGTCCTGCCATGTCTGGTTCAAAGCTTGTATCTGTGCGATTAGAGGGGCGGTTGCAAAGCCTTCTCATTTTATTTGAAAACCTCAGCGTCGCCATGGTTGAGTTGGCAGACAAAGTTGCCTTTGGTATGAGACTGGAACACCTTGGTGAGCCAACACGGGATATATTCGGCACACATGTGATGCTTCTCCGATGATCAATTTCACACTCCCACTCTCTGTTGCCTCAAAAAGTTTAGCGAATAGATAGGTATAGGACAAATACAACAGCCAGGATACAGAGAAGCGGGCAAGTATTGAAACGGAAAGCCTCAATAAGCCTTTCCAACATGAAGCTCCTCGGTAGGCCTCTTAACTAGGTAACTTTTGGTCACGGTATGATTCCAATTCTCAAAACGCTTGCGCTCGCCTTGTTTCCCGTCGCAATCCAGATCCTATTTTAAGCTTTTGCATGCCCCTCCACGCAAGCAAATGCCATTCAATAATATTCCTTGGCCAATCCAAACTTTATCTCCAGTACGACTAACAAGCAGATCCTACCAGTGCCAGCCAAACCCGGTGGAGGATGCTGGCCCAGCCGTCAGTGATGATGGAATAGAGCAGGGGGGCGGAAAAGCCGACAGCCCCCTCGCGTTGACATAATACCAGGACACGATGCCACCCTCGGCTACACGGGAGTATATGATTTCCTTTGTGGCTATGCAGCTTAGAGATGTGCTGGAGCAGAGCGTATTTGTGTCCGGCTTGGGCCCATCATTGCCATCTCCTGCCGTGGGGTTTGGTCTGGCAAATTGGCATCAACATGGCGGAAACTCGAGAACAAAACGCCGATAACTTTCCGTTATTATACCTTTATGTCGCTAGTCTATCAGGATTGCGACTTCACCATGAAGATCTGGAATGTGTTAGCCAAAGGTCTGAGGCTGTCAGTGATGTAGGTGATGCAGAACATACCGCGTTCAATGCCTTGTCGTCCATGGTCGCCATTCTCTTCTGCGCAATCCACCGCGATCTCACTGCATGATGGCCTCTGAGCACTGGTGTTGAGGTACCGCTGGCGGTCGGTGTTGATGTGGTGGGGGTCGATGTAGATTCCCGCGATGCCTCCTTCTTGGCACGCTTTTCCTCCTTGCGACGCCTTTTCTCCTCTTTCCTCGCAGCCTTCTCGGCATCGGTCTCGCCTTTGCGCTTCTTCTTGGTGGTCATGTCATCGGACGATTCCTCCTCGTCGCTGCCAGCCTCCTTCTTTTCCTTCTTTTTCTCCTTTCCCCTCTTGTTTTTCTTGGACCTCTTCTCCGTCTCGTCCTGGGTATCTTCGGAAGCATCTTCTTTTGAGGACCTTGATTTCCGCTTCTTGTCCTTCTTTTCGCTTATCAAAGTCTCATCGTCACCCTCAGCCTCAGCCTTTAGCTTTTTGGCTGCCTTCTTCTCCTCCTTTCTCCGTTTCTTCTTGGCCTTCTCGTCCTCGGATGAAGACTCATCTTCGCTCGACTCTTCAGCTTTGCGCTTCTTTGATTTCCCATCCGACGATTCGCTGACAGTGGGTACGTCTTCCATTTTGATGTCGTCCTTATCTTCCTCCTTGGGCTCGGCGGTGGGCTCATCCTTGACTTGGTCGCCGACAAGCCATCCTCCCCTAACGAACCGCATGGGTCCAAATTTTGTGTCGCAGTAGAGCGTGCCCTGAAGCGTTGCACGGGCCTGGCGCTCTTTCTCGATGGACTCGCTCGATTTGCCGTTCAATCGTCCCAGGAGGTCAGAAAAGACGTCCATGCCCGTGACCCTGTCATCCCTCGCCTGTTTGAAGCCTAGACCGAGCATGTCATCCTTCAGGGCGACACGAATGAATGAGGCATTGGCGGCAGTATGGTGCACTGCGTGAGCAGCGCCTTTCGCACCGAGGTACTGCCCAGGCTCCCAGCCCTGGGATCGCAGGATCTTCTGGCCGAAGGAATCCGCATCCTTGGTCCATTTCGTGTTGTTGGGATCCTTGCCGATCTTGCGGCGACTGCAAAATTGTCAGTGTCTTGGGGGTGGATTGGCTTGTCTTTGGGGGTGTTGGTTCTCACGTCTTTGCCTGTGCCAGACCCATCGTTGCGGTTTGGCAAGTACAGACTCGTTGTGAAAGAAGACGGGGAGTTTTCGCAATGCACGATAAGAGATGCAGTTCGCTGCCATTATCGCAGAAAAATTTTGGTGGGGTGCTATCGGGAAATGTGACTGATCCCTGCAATTTCCAGTATGTATCCGAGGAATATCCGTTCACCGAATCTCACCGACCCGTCCGAGGTCAACAGGCACAGCATCACTAGGTAACTCCATTATACCACCTTCCAACTCAAAGTGCTCTTTACGGGAAGAAGCAAAGCCCTCTGAAGGTATTTAAATGGGGGCTGTTTTTTTCTTGTACCATACTTGGACAAGGTTTAATTTGCAAAATGAATTCATTGCCCCGGTGTCGGATAGCCTCTCCCGAGAGCTTCTAGCAGCGGCAGCAGCAGCAGCAAGCCTACTGGAGTCTCGGGCATGTATCATCACACTGCCGAGACCTTGCTTAAAGCTCTTGTTGAGTCTCCCAATGGCATACCCTTCGTTCTTAGTGCTGCGTGAAATGCGACCTTCGCTTCCCCGTTCAGTTATCCTTCCTGAACCGGATTCAGTAAGAAAATGATCACAATTTGAATATATTCACCATCACCAGCTCGCAGGCACTGCCACTTGATGAAAGAAACCGTCATCCAGACGCTTTACATGATCTGTGTAAGAAAGTAATCTCTCGTAGTATTCTTACCAAGTGCTGAGCATCCATCACTATATACCGGGACTAAATGGCGCTGCAAGAACGCCGAGTGCCCAGTTCAAAGTAAGGCGTAGTCGGTTGAAGATTATGATTAATAAGAAAAAAACAGACGTATGGCATTAGAGAGGGAATCCTAGCTTTGAGCACCAAGCCAAGGAGGTAGAGGTCATGGGTTTGCGGAATAAATGGCAGTATCATACCCAAGCAGGGCTAGCCGCATATCCTTCGAAACACAGTTCCAAGAGTTCAACACACAGGGCACAAAGAGTACGGTTTGCGACGTGGGGGTGACAGGAAGTGGTGTGGTCATAAAGGAGCCGTGATGGTTTTTCTATTCCCCAACGCCGTATTGTATGCTCGATTCGTACTATTACACAAAGTCTTATCGTCACATTGGCCCCAGCCAAGTCTATCCGCTTGTCGTTTACACCGTGAAACCGAATCCCTTCATGCAGGCCCGGTATTGGTCAATCGTGGAGAGGCAGTCCTTGGCCGGATCGGCGGCGTTCGAGAAGAGCATGCACTCGTCGCGCTTAGCCTTCTCTTCCTTGCATACACAGCAGGGCTGTACTCGAGATTGTTCGTCAGAATTCTATGCGCTCGGTGTAGGGTCATCGGGCTGGAGATTTTATTCCAGAGGCTTTGCGCACCTTCGGCTTAGAGGCTTGCTGATCGGCAGCAGCCGGCGCAGCGGCCGGAGTGGCGATTGAGGCTGCAAATAGAGAATGTTAGCCATTGCGTGATCATGAGTGCGTTTTTTGGATTCCCTACGGATGGCGGCAGCTGGGGAGGCCATTTTGAAAGTCAAGCGAGTGTTGGGAAGTGAGGTAAGTGGTTTGCGATCGGGGGTTGAAGGCTGGAGAAATGGCTGTTATTCTGCACCTCGGGCCACTTTTTTCCCCTCTGCGCTGACCTCACCGAAGGTCGATTTGTAAGTCACTCTAATCACGGGCACCATATCCGTAGCCAATCACGCCTTCGACAAATCACGTGCACTCACGCCTGTCTTTCGGTTCCACGAGCGTGGTTGGCCGATAATTCTCTTCAATCCTTAGATCCGATTAACTAAACCCGACGCTGATTCCTTGCGTGACATTCAAGCTTCGAGCAACCCATAAGTGCATTGCAAATTTCTGACTTTAGGAGTCTGCATCTCTGGCCACGCTTAGGTAGGTAGGTTTACCTTCGAGGAAGCGGACCGGAAAGAGTGAGCCACTCGGTGTGGGTACGTTCCGGCCCTCAAGCTGGATCGGGTCCTGGGCCACGGGCGGCCCCGGGAGAGCCCCGGAAAGTGGAGCATATCGAGTAGCAATGCCGGGCTGGCGTTAATTTCAGTATACATGAGGATGCACCATGTACGGTACAGTGACATGTAATATCCGTAAGTCTGAGCTCACATGTTCAAGGTTGCCACATGTCACTGTTACGTCTGGAACGCTGGCGACTTGAAAAACGAGGGAACTCTCTGCCAGCTCTTCACCACGCTAGATGTAAATATGCGCTACCGTCCTGCCCCTGAACATGCCTTTTCCACCCTGAGCGGGCGTGAAGCATTCATGGTTAGCAGGCCGATATCTTATAAGAGACGATTCTCTACCCCGGAAAGCCTCCGCAGAAACGCCATGAACAGAATTAGTAGAATGCCAAGCTGGATTCACTATGAAAAGTCTTTCAAAGATGTGGGGGATACAGTCGCATTTCGCGCAAGAGACGCCAAATGAAACTGGACGCGTTGTTGAAAAAGAAAGTTTAAGTGCCAGTAGGGGGCGTAATCCTTGGGATGTAGTGGTTCAGGCCCACTGGCGAGCTTAGTGCAGTGGGCCCCTGCAAGCTATCAACGCGCTCCTGCCCGTGAGACGCGACAGCTCTGCGATGAAATGGGGCCGCCTCCCAATTGACATCACCACGAACCCCTTCCCGACATAGCTTTTGGTCCGTCTTCACCAAACAGCGCCAGCCCGCTCTTTTACCATGGCGCCGAAGTCGAAACTCCCCGAGAAGAAGCAGCAGTCACTCACCAACTTCTTTCAACCCAAGACTGTCAATGGTCTTGCCGCCGCCTTCCAAAAGTCCCAGTCCGAATCCCGAACGAGGCCGTCCGAGTCTCCAGAGGCTTCACGCAAGCGACCTCTAGTAGAGGATGCAGACAAGGTCCACAATGGCTTAGAAAAGAACCCCAAGAGGACAAAGAGGGGGAAGGAGGAGAATTCAGATGCTACAGACGAGGAGGAAGACCCTGTCTTCGCTCCAGGAGCCAAACAGCCTGCGGCCGAGCTCAATTCCAAGGCGTCTACGGCTGCCAATCGGGCAGGACGGTTCACGTACAGCCAGACCTCAGATGTAAATGCTGATGAGGAGGATAATGAAGACCCATCCACGAAAAAACGCAAGGAGGAGCTGCACAACAAGTTCGTGAAGAAGCTGGGCCACCCAGACAGCATGCTTTGGCGGCGGCGGAGGGAGGACGACAACGAAGCTGCTGAGGGAGAAGAGGGCGAGGAGGACGATGAAGACGAGGCCCCTCCGGCGCCCAAGGCTAAGAAGGGAGGCGCAAGAGCGAACAAGAAGCTCACGCCAATGGAGCTTCAGTTCCTCGAAATCAAACGCAAGCATCTCGACACTGTGCTCATCGTCGAGGTTGGCTACAAGTTCCGGTTCTTTGGGGAGGACGCACGCATTGCTGCCAAGGAGCTCAGCATCGTCTGCATTCCGGGCAAGTACCGCTACGACGAGCACTCTTCGGAGGCACACTGGGACCGGTTTGCCTCGGCGAGCATTCCGGTACACCGGCTGCCCGTCCACGCCAAGCGTCTCGTCGCTGCTGGCCACAAGGTCGGGGTGGTCCGCCAGATCGAAACGGCTGCTCTCAAGAAGGCTGGCGACAACCGCAACGCACCGTTCATCCGTAAGTTGACCAACGTCTACACCAAAGGTACCTATATCGACGAGAACGGAGAGTTGGAAACCGGTGGCGATGGAGGTGCTCCGTCAGGGGGCTACCTACTGTGTATTACCGAGACCCCGACAAATGGGCAGGGCACGGATGAGAAGGTCGAGGTCGGAATAGTTGCCGTGCAACCGACGACCGGGGATATCATCTACGACACCTTCGAGGATGGCTTCATGCGAAGTGAGATCGAGACACGGCTTCTTCACATCTCCCCTTGCGAGTTCGTTATCGTCGGTGACCTCACCAAGGGATCCGATAAGCTCGTGCAACATCTCTCTGGGAGCAGCACAAATGTTTTTGGAGACCGCAGCCGTGTCGAGCGCGTCCCTCGCACCAAGACCATGGCCGCCGAGGCATACTCGCACATCACACAGTTCTACGCAGACAAGCTGCAGCAAACTCCGGACGCCGCCGCCTCGTCTCTCCTTGAGCGTATCCTCCACCTCCCTGAACCCGTCACTATCTGCCTTTCCGCCATGATCAACCATCTCAAGGAGTATGGCCTCGAACACGTCTTCGATTTAACCAAGAACTTCACCAGCTTCTCGGCACGTCAGCATATGCTCCTGAACGGAACAACGCTTGAGGCCCTTGAGGTCTATCGCAATGCTACCGACCACTCTGAGCGTGGCTCTCTCTTCTGGGCCCTGGACAAGACGACCACCCGCTTCGGCCAGCGCCTGCTCCGTAAATGGGTGGGCCGGCCGCTTCTCGACGTCTCCCGCCTCGAAGAACGCGTCGCCGCCGTTCAGGAACTCGTCGATGAGCAATCCTCCGCCAAGGTCGACCGCTTAGTGGCGCTGCTTTCCGGCACCAAGACCGACCTCGAGCGCAGTCTGATCCGCATCTACTACGGCAAATGCACCCGTCCAGAGCTCCTCTCCGTCCTCCAAACACTTCAACGTATTGCCATGCAATACTCGACTGTAAAGTCGGCTGATGCCACGGGCTTTACCTCTCCGCTCATCTCCTCTGCCATCCTCTCCCTCCCTCACATCCTTGACCTGGTCGTCTCGTACCTTGACAAGATCAACCCGGAGGCTGCTCGGAAGGATGACAAGTACAACTTCTTCCGTGAGTCCGAACAAACCGAGGACATTGAAGACCACAAAATGGGCATCGTCGCTGTCGAGCAGTCCCTCGACGAACACCGTTCCGAGGCTGCCTCCTCCCTCTCGCGTAAGAAACCCGTCGACTACGTCACCGTGTCGGGCATTGAGTACCTCATCGAGGTCAACAACACAGACCTCAAATCCATTCCCGCCTCCTGGATCAAGATTTCGGGCACCAAGAAGCTTTCACGCTTCCACACACCCGCCGTCGTCCGCCTCATCGCTGAACGTGACCAGCATCGCGAGGCCCTTGCCGCCGCCTGCGACGCTGCCTTCACCTCCCTCCTCCACACCATTGCGGACGCATACCAGCCTCTCCGCGACGCAGTCTCCTCCCTCGCGACCCTTGACTGCCTTCTCTCCCTTTCCCGCGTCGCTGCCCTCCCCGGCTACACCAAACCGACCTTCCTCCCCGCCCCGACCCAGCCCACAATCTCAATCACCCAAGGCCGCCACCCGATCGCCGAACACACTCTCTCGGATCCCTACATCCCTTTCACGACGAGCCTCTCCTCCCCGTCCCCGCTGGCGCACCTCATCACGGGCCCCAACATGGGCGGAAAGTCCTCTTTTGTCCGCGCTGTGGCCCTCCTCGTCCTCCTCGCTCAGATCGGCTCCTTCGTCCCCGCCGACGAGTTCTCCCTGACCCTCGCCGACGCGATTCACGTCCGCATGGGTGCCCGCGACAACCTCGCCGCGGGCGAGTCCACCTTCATGGTCGAGGTCTCGGAGACGGCCCGCATCCTTCGCGCCGCCACCCCGCGCTCCCTCGTCGTCCTCGACGAGCTCGGCAGGGGCACTTCGACCCACGACGGCGCCGCCATTGCCCACGCCGTCCTCGACCATGTCGTCCGTGAGAACAGGTGCCTCACTCTCTTCATCACGCATTACCAGAACCTCGCCCGCCTGGCCGATGGCATCGGCGAGGGCCTTGTCAAGAACGTTCACATGCGCTTCACAGCGACACGTAAAGCTGGGACGGAGGAGGGAGACGGGGACGAGGGCGGTGAGGACGCGGGTGCCGACGAGGAAATCACCTTCCTGTATGAAGTCGGAGAAGGCGTTGCGCACAGGTCATATGGATTGAACGTCGCACGTCTGGCCCGGATACCCCGCAAGGTCATCGAAGTGGCCGCGCAAAAGTCGCGCGAAATGGAGCAAAACGTAGCAGCGCGAAGACTAAGGAGCACAGCCCGTCTCCTTGCTGAGGTGATGGAGAACCAACCGGATCAGCTTGACCATTTAATCTCGAACATAGACCAACTCTAGCACCAGTGTCACAAAAACAAAACAAAACAAAGTAGGCTGGATGTCTTTTTTATTCTACGAAGCCACGCCTGTTGTGTCTGCTTGGCACGATATGGACACGTATGAATGAAACTGTGATATCTATGTTTCTCTTCCATCCGAATCAAAACGTGTTGTTGGGTAAAGTCCTAAAACTCGGTGAAAGTTCGCTCTCAGTCCAGTGTCACCGTATATGAATGGCCCACCACAAACTCTGATGCCTGGCTTGTAGTTTGTAGGCCTGCCAGCGTGTGGCGGAATTCCCTTGGACCCTTATTATTCGTAGCGACCTCCGTCCTGACAAGGCAATACTCTGCGGTCGAACCCAATATCCGAAGGAACCCGCATTGCCCCGGCCCAGGGTCTAAAGATCAGCTGATGAGTCGAGGACGCGAGCAAAAGCCTGCCTGTGTACTCGCACAACGTGAACAACTGCGCTTTGTTAGTCACTGAAGAGAAAGCAGACTGACAATATAGGCTTACTGAAAGAAAATAAAAGTAAAATCGAAAGACCAAGAAGAATCCCATGAACCACGATGATAGCTTGACTCAGTAAGGGTCAGAGAGCAGATATTAATCGGCCTGATTTTCCTCTTCTTAGAGCATATTGTTGCCCGTTCAGTCCATGGAAGTTTTGACGACTTCCGCTTTCTCAGAGATCATCACCGAATACACTTGCTCCGTTTCCCGGATCGTTCTCGCCTGCAGTGAAGGCGAATTGGGTGGTGTAGTACACTGGCTGGGTCGAATTGCCATTGATGGGCATGAATCTCGTGTTCACGGTTGGCGCGACCACCGGATATCCCCAAGACGGTTGCTGATAAAAGATCTCATGCTGTTGCTGGTAACCATTGAAGGGGTTGGTCGTGGTGTTGGGGTCGGCCACACTGAGCTGGTTCATCTGATTGTTGGAGTTGGCCATTATGGATCGGTTCACGTGGCTGTTGCCACCACCAAAGACATAAGTGTCTCCTGTCATTCTCTGTCCCTGCAAGCCATGGTTATTTTCCTTTCCTTTGAACATTCGGTTCGTTAGATGCTTCGCAGAGGGAGTGGGAGAATTCAAGCTCGGATTCGAGTTCGCGTTCATCGACCGGAGGGGGATACGATTGCGGACATCGAATCTGCAAAAGAGGGGTCATCAATATACCATTTCATTGAATTTTCCTAGGTCAAGGTTAAAAGACCTAGCTTCATCCATCATCTCCTGAGAGAACTGTTGGCCTACCTTGGAGTCAGCAATTAAGGCACAGCTACGCAATTTAGCGAGACCTACAGGTAACGAGTCCACGATTGGCATCACGGAAGACGTCATGTTCTTCATGATTGGCGAACTGGCGGGGGTTCAGGTTGTTCAAGGACGATCCGGTTCCGAACGGAGAATCATCAAGATCTTCATCGAGCTCAACGTCGACTTCAGCGAGGCTAGCGGCATCACTCGCGGCATCCAACTTCTCCGATAGACCCTCGTTATCCATTTCAGGCGCCAGCTCCTTCTTGACGTCGCGGTTCTTGTGTCGCGCAGTTGTAGTACGAGATGCCTGTGGAGCAAGCTTCTCCATAGGCTCTGACTTGACGAGGAGTTCAGAAGCTTCATCGTCTTCCTCCTCCTCAACGTTACGGCTGCGCTTCTGGCGGCGCTTCGACTTGGCGATCTGTTCAAAATGTCAGCACTTATCAGTCTGTGATCAGATCCCGCGAGCAAGGTATTTTATGGGAGCTTACCGGAGTTCCCTCCACTGACGGTGCGTCATAGACATCGCGGGTTCTCGCGATTTCCATATCGAGATTCGCCACCAATTCGGTGGTAGTGATTGCCTGAGAAGATAGCTCCATCTGTTGAAGCACAGAGGCATCCTTGCGCTGGTTTCTCTTCTTTTTCTGGTCAGGGGTTGCAGCATCAAAGATGCCCATACCCGGCCAGACGATTCCCTTCAGTCTTGCTGACTCAAGCTCATCTGGAGTCCAGTCAATGACATCTTCGGTTGGAGTCGAGACGGGGCTGTTGTTCTGTTCTCCGTAGAATGTGATGGCCTGCTGCTCAAAGAGTCCACCAGTCGGGGGAGGTGTCCAGGAGGCGTCACTGCCGAGCTCGCGCTTGACAAGGTGGGGTAGTTTCTTCTTCTTCTTGAGAGTCTTTGCGAAGTCAGCCTACAAGAATGATGAGGTTTGATTGAGAGATGCCCTACTTGAGGTACTGGCTGTCCAGATCGCTTGCCTGCCGGGATGCCCTTCGATCTTTCATCCTTGACTTTTAGACGCTCCGCGAGCATGGCCTCGAGGCCATGCTCGTTATACCACCTTTCATACGTGGATATGGCGTGGGCGGCAGAAAGGTCAGCGATAGCGCGGATCCTGACATCGTTGAAGGTCTGGAGGTGGCCCTTCGAGTTGAGATGTGTAAGAAGGTGAGAGACGTCCGAGAAGTGCGGGTTGGTAGGACAGATGACGCAGAGAAGCGGAATAGACGAGCTGGAAGGAGACTTTGCCTCGGACACATTCAGACCAGCTGACTTGGTAGCAGTCGATTTGCCACGGGCCTTGCTGATCTTCAAGGTCTTGGGTGCCTGTGATTTCGGTACCTGAGCCTTTGGCGCCTTGGTCAGGGCTTCGACGCTGGCCTCACGGGCTGCGACAGCTGCCATGTTCTATTCCGAAGTTAGCAATGAATTAACAGTGCTGACATGCAATTGCCAGTCGTTACTGACTGGCTGTCTCTTCATGGTTGAAACAGAACGAGTAGAACGGAGGGCGGGCTTTTCTGTTCAGGTAACCAAAACACAAAACGAAGGGCAGGAAATCCTTTTCCCAATGGTTTTATTACAGGCAAAGAAGGACAGAAATCCGAGACCCAGTGAACATGGGAAGGGCAGTAGCCAGCAAATGAAGCCAAGGAGTAACGCTGAAGAGCTCGGTGCATGTGGGAGGTGACAATGGAACAGGACTCTGGCAGTGATGGAGGAGGAATGTCGCTGTGGAAACATCCGACGAAAGAACGTGTATGCTGATGGGTATGGGTGTTCTGGCCTAGAGAGTGGCAGAGCCGGACCTAGGAAAGGGGAGGTACTCACGGCGGCAGCAGCAAGGGCTGCTTGACGTCTAGGCGCCATCTTCTGAAATGGCAGGAGATGATGCTATCCATAGTAGCAGCAGGTCCTGTTCCTCCAAAAAGAAAAAGAAAAAAAAGAAAAGAGAGAGAGAGAAGAGGAAGGAACGATGATGGTCGAGTTCCAGGTGCGGGAAGGAATAGGTGTCGATGGGCCGCTTGCACGCTGGCCGTTCTTGTCTGTAGTCGCTCTGTCAGTAGTTGAACTTGAATTTGAAGGGAGTCGCAACGATCGCCCTTTCCAATGGGTGGAAGAGAAGAGTAGAGTGTGACTTTTGTCAGTCACCTGACAAGAACGGGGTTGTTCCCGTTATACACTGACACGCTAGAGCAGGTAAGGTAGTCAGGCCCCAAACCTGAGGCCTCCCAGAACCCGGGAGAACAGCGGTATTTGACCCCGGCTAGGACTTTTCTCTCCTACTGAACATGCGGTGCTGAAAGTGATCCAAATCCGCCGAAAGACAAAACGGTCAACTTACACAAGTCTTGAGAATCCTAAATTAACTTCTTAGGTCGAATGTTTAGTACGGAAGGTGCCGACAAGGAAGCGATGGGTTGGATTGAGGAGATCTGATAGATGATTGTTTCGTCAGCAAGGTCCGACTCTCCACGAGCGAACTGAAGGATTGAAAACTGACCGAATGTACTGATTGAGCTCGCAAAACTTCTGTGCGAGAGCCCCCAGAATTGCTTGACTGTATTCTCTTGGCCCGCAAACCTTGTCGCCAATCCAAACAATTAGATGGTTTCTGTAATGAAGAATAAGCAAGAGTAAACCAAAAAAAAGCTGTTTCTGTAGTGGTGGATAAGAGGGAGAAAAGATCCTCAGATCTATCTTTTGAAGGAGAGAAAGGCAAAAGAAATGGAAATCTAAGAAAGCAGAAGGCTCGGGATAGAAGCTCTGGATCAGCCAGAGACCATGATCGGTGAGTGCTCCAGTAGCTGTGGCGATTCCTAAACTTCTCAATATGAGAAGATAGGGGGGGCAAAGGTCGGTGTCCAAGTAGCTCATGCTGCTTTTAGGTAGCAAAGGTTGTGAGCGCCCAGAGGGTGAATCTAGGTGCTTTGAGAAGATGGCCCTCGTCGCTTTTGATGTGTATCAGGAGCTGAGTTGCCTCACACAGTCTAACCTGGATTGGCCCGCTTGCTATCCGGATAACACAATGAACGTGCAAATAGGACTGTGTTGCGATGAAAGCTAAAATAGGAAAGTCCATGCAAGAAGACTGCGAGTTGTGACAACGAAGAAAAGGAAAAGAGGAAAAAGAAAGGACGCAGGAACGGGCACTGAAGTTGGCGAGAATGTGAAGTATATGGAATAAAATCAACACATACCTGGTTCAAGGATGGCCTGGATGAAGGTATTGTGAGCCAAGGTACCTGATCTGTGATAGATTGCGGCGGTGTGCAATTGATCTCACTGCTGAGAAGCGTGAGGGTGTTTACGCGTCAAAGAAACGCGGATGTGAACCTCTGGAGAATTTTGCCAACCTAAAGTACGTCAAACCTTGAGAAATAGAACAGAAGGTGATCCAAGAGACGCGAGTTTTGGCAAGTATTTGCAATACAGCAATTGTTGCGTGTTTTCGAAGTCGGGGTTAGATAAGCTCAAGACCCCCAACGAGCGGATGGAAGAAGGTTGAGAGAGCCGTGGGAATAGAGGGAGAGAGTGGAAGAGAAAAGGGGTTGTTTCTTGCGGTGGCTGGATGGAAAAGAAAGAGGCACGTCAAGGTCAGTTGGTCGCTTGGCGAACGTGCAAATGTGCTAGTGAAGAGCATTGCAAGATTGCGATGAGATAACACCAAGCTACCTACACAGAGTGTCAAGCACGTGACATTGTGCCGGAAAGTGCCAGATTGGTACAAGAGCGGGCAGCAACATCGCTCCATAGTAGTGGCGTGGTGAGATGGTGCAGTGGTGTACTCAAGATCTCAGGACTTTTGGTAGTTGTTATCCTTGATCAGTGTACTGTGTTCTTTGAACGAAGAAAATTGATGTAAAGCAATAAGAGTAATATGAAGAACGAGAGGAAGGAAACGCATTGGTTGCTCTAAGTGTTGTTGTTTCGAATGATATACCCTCGCAGCGATCGAATGACATGGCCTTAGTCGTGACTATCTGCTCCCGCCCCTACATAGAAGATGGAGAAGATGCTGTGAATCACCAGCAGTATCCTCCTGTGATGTGGTCATCATCCTACTACTCTGAGCATATAATTACAACAAGAAGCATATGCAGGGGACTACCGAAGCACTTGACAGTCAGGCTCAATCTGTATCAGACTCAACGAAGGGTTTGGTTTTGCTTCTCGAACAGATTTGCCGCGGGGCAAGGATATACGTTACGCATCAGGGACAACAGAGGTTGATGGGTTCAAAGTAATTCGTGCACCATTAAGAGCGTCTGACACAGTCTGTAATCTGAGCCAGACACTACACTTATAGCTTTGGAAGTGTTTGAAGGCTAGCTCATGGCAAATCGCAAAAGGTAACCGCGGATCCTATGAAAGAAGCCAACACTTTTGCTCTTCTCTCGCCTTGTATCCTTGCTACCATCATGATTTGGGATAGCAGATTATTAGATTGCAAGAGGTATGTGTATCGTCATGTCGCCTGGCATCGTTGTTGTGCAGTGCGGCTCGTCGGTATCCCAAGTCGCCTATTCCATCACGAACTCACTACGGCTTCCTCCCCAGCACCCTGTCGATCGTTGGCTTAGGCATGCAGTACACCGGATCAACCGCTACCGTCCCCGGATACCCCAGTAGGCTCAGCCCCGTCATGCCGAAGCACGTGTGCCACACATCGACCGTATTGCCGGGCCGATCCGAGATGCCCCCTAGCTCCTGGTCCTGGCATTTGAGAATGAAGGTAACGAGCTTCTGTCTGTCGATCCAGTGCGTGCGCCCGATGATCTCCAGACTGCTCAACACCCACCAGCTGTAGCACACGTCCTCGTCCTTTTCGGGCCGCCCGTTCAGCCCACCGCCCGCGACCTGCCGCTCGCTGAGCCATTGACCAAGCTTGTCCGTCTCGACCAGGTCTAACCGCCCCGCGATGGCGAGCGCCGCAACGCAAGTGAAGATCTGTCCGGAGTGCGACTCATCGCCGGGGCCTACGCCGTAGCCGCCGTCAAAGTTGGTGCACGCAACGATGTGCCGTACGGCCCTATCAACGTCGACGAGCGAAAGCAAGCCCAGGAGAGACAGGGCATTCAGTGCACCATAGAGAAACCGGGTGTCCTCCTCGCCCCATTCGTCCCCTGCAAATGTGCCGCTTTCGCGGTTCTGAAGACCCGCGATGACTGCCACCGGCGTGTCAGTGCTTTCCCGTGCCATACGAGCCTCAGTGATATAATCGATACTTACACTTGCCTACTTGCGCCTTCCCCTTGCCGCGCGACTCCAGCTCATCCAGGGCGTCGATCATGACCAGGATCTGTACAGCACTAACTGTATACAGCATATGAGCGTCGTGACCGGGCGCGGCCCCGAACCCTCCGCTCTCATGTTGGCACGAGAGAACGAAGTCGATGGTCTCGGCGCGGGGAAGCGCTTCAGGGTGTCCGAGTAGATGGAGTGCGACCAAGCCCCAGTAAAGGCCGTTAAGGCGCAGATGCTCTGTCAGCCAGTAGTCGTACTCATCCCTGCGCGTGTCCAGACTCTGAACGTATTTCACGTGAGCCGCTGTTGCCAGCTTGAGCTCGTCTGGCAGGTTCTCGAATCGGGCTGACATGGTCTCCGTACCCGGTTGTCCTAATTTCCAAGACTGGACAGAAGATACTGAGTCGGTCGGAAAGCCTGGATTTGAAGATTCTCCACATGAGGCAGTTATTGAAGGGTTGAGGTCGATGGCTTAGGTAAGGTATGCGAAGGATCCGGAACGGAAGGTTCCGCCGACTGCCGGGCCAGGATACCTACTTGCGCCGCAGCGGGCAGCTTCCAAGCCAATTAATTGCTCGAGCACATTTGGCGAGTTCCATCGCAGAACCTCCAATATCCACCCAGGCCTGTAATATCCGGCTGTTTATAGGAAGTTATCGTCCAACCTCTTCCACCTCCAGCACCCGATAGTATCCCTCGTTTCATGTTCACGCCCGTTGCAGTAAGCTCTTGGATTTTTCTAGTGGCGAGCAAGTCTGAACACAAATCCTATATTTTGCTCGTAATACAGGCTTTCTCCCAAAGCGCGTGCTATGTATTACATGGCCGAAGAGCAGCATTTTTTCTTTTTTCTTTGGGAGAATACGGAAGAATGTGTACGTACGATGGAATAAGTCCTCGGCTCAGCCATGCAGCCGCGCAGAAATGCGCCAATATGAGGCGTCATGCTTGAAATGAACAACTGGATCACGAACACATTCTGGTGTGTGATATCCTGCCACAATCCCACATCTTGAATCGGGAATATAGTTACCGGCCGACGCCCTTGTCCGGACAAGTACCATGTCTCTGGGCCTGTTTCTTTCGTCTGCCGCCGAGGGTTGCACTCGTGGAATGGGGGATCTGCTTCCGAGAGACGTCTGTGGCCGATTCGCCGT